CGTGAACTCCACAAGCAGCGTCGGCGTGAACTCCAGCATGAGGAGGGGCGGACGGTCGGTCTGGTTGGCGGCGGTGGCCGTCGAGGCCACGCCAGGACCACGGAGGGCGGTGTGGGCGGTGTTGGCGGCTGCGTGCAGCAGTCGCGAGCGGGAAGCGGCCGCTCTTGGGGAGGCCGCGCGTCGGGGGGGGGGGGGGACTGGATGGGGGGCTGGGGCCCAACCGAGCTGTGTCATATGCTCGGTGGGGGGTCTAGGTGCTGTTGTGTGAGTGAGTGGTGAGCAGGCCCCTCGCAAGGAGGGAAGGACAGAAATTGGCTCGGATTGGTACCCGGGCACGGAGATTGGATAAGTTTTCAATCAGCAATCACGATGCATCAGCAAAGCTTCACACACTATCGTATTGCCCCAAGCACAAAGATTACACAAACCTGTACATAATACACTAGGCTGATACCGTGCACTCAGTTGATTTTTTTTCCTCTTATCCTGGGTTTGCGTCGGCGTTTTACCAAATTTAACTGCAAAAAAAAGACATTGCAAGGATTTATCCAGTTCAACTACAAGTTTTAATTTACGACCAATGTGATATTTGTACAGACTATCCTCTTTGTAGTGATACCGTAGAGACACAAGTTTTATTACTATCCGGAGAAATCACTGTGTAGCGCTGTACCATTACAAGGGTAACGTCGATTTGTCGATACACACACTGCTGCTGCAAGGTCAATTAAAGTTGATCATGCTCATTTTCCATGCTGACGCGATAAATCTGCCGCATGAGAGGTTTCAGTTTCTGTAGAGCTCGTTCCGAGGGAAGTTAGGTTTTGCCAATCATCCAGCAGTCTAGGATTCTACTGGCCTCAAATAACAGTTGAAATCGCTCCAATATCTGATTAATTTCTACATGTAAAATTTCCTCCCTGAGAGGGAGTTAAAACAGAAATTGGAGCCGGCCAGTGGCCTTCTCACGGGTGTTGGAGTAGTTTTCAACTAGCAATCACGATGCATCAGCAAAGCTTCACACACTATCGTATTGCCCCAAGCACAAAGATGCAATTAATATTTTGTGACTTGAATCTCTATATTTGTTGATTTAACCTCGCGAACCGATGGCAGTTATATGGCAGAAGTTTCAGTGGTTTTAGAGTCGTTTGTGGCTGGATTCAGTCTGTGACACAAATGGACCAATTAGAGCTGGGAAACGCAATAGCTTCGGAGAGCCGCACACGGAGCCCTTGCCAACTCGTTGGAACAGGAACGAAAATGGACGGAACCGCCGGAAGCGAGAAGATCATGTACACGACGGTATGCAGTTGCCTCCGCTATCTGATCCTTACAGCAGCATCGCTGCACAGCTTCGTCTAACTTGTTAACCATTTATGTAGGCCACGGGCGCCTTCTTTGGCGCTGCCATTGGCTCCGTCGAGTCCGTGTGGGCCATCCCGAAGCTTGGTGCGTCTCTGTGATTCATTAACGAACTCGCCCATCAAGACTCATCTGTGACCTATTGTTTTTTGTAGGCGCCAAGCTGCCGAAGCTCTCAAACCAGCTTAAGCACCTCGGCACGCGCTCGGTACGATGCTTATGCGTGACTGGTAAATTGTTAAGGCATAGTTTAACTGCTTCTGTGGCGCTACTTGATACAGCTCGTGTTCGCTGCTGTTGGCTGCATCTTTTCCACGGGTGAATACGTGACGGCCTCGATTCGCCAGAAGGAGGACCCGATCAACGCTGGCGTCGGCGGTGCTCTTGTTGGCGTTGTGCCCGGTATTGTGAAGCAGAGCATGCGTGTTGGTGTCGGCGCTGGTGTTGCTGCTGGTGCGGCTATGGCCGCTGCATCGTACTGGTATGTTGACAGAACCTAGATATTTTTGCTACGATGAAGAAGACGTTACTGATGGTGTGGCTCGCCATATATTGTGCAGGCAATCCTCCCAGGACACGGCTTTCGACAGATACGCTGCTGCTCGTACCGCTGGTCGCGCCTAAGTTTGTGGAGGTGAGATAGGTAGCGGCAAACGAATCAAATCAATGAAATGAAGGACACATGACCACAGTTACGTGCATGGAATATAGACCGTTTCCAGTATGTCGACCATGGAGGAGGCTGCCTAGCGCAGAGCATGAATGACTTAATGGAGAGGTGAAAATTGAGTTGAGCAAACACGAACGAGAAAACTGCAATATCTTCTTGTTTAACATTGGCTGCTGATTGAAGAGATGGCAGCTTCAACGCTACAGTCTGAAAAGGGGTTTCGAGCAGACATGCGAGTGCATGCGCTCACACCGCGTCCGTCTCACTCCACGGCGACAAATGAGCGTCCAATAGTCAGTACTACAGTATTGCCATAGCATGTTGTGGTAACATGGTGCTCGCAAATGCTTTCTCGTTTGCTTCGTCGGTCTAGTCTCTACATTCTGGCAACTGCGCAAACTAACCTACTGCGTGGGGAAATGCATTGATAGTGTTTTAGTATGGAGAGGATCGTGAAAACCCCTTCTTCACAGGTTCATCCGAAGGGATCCCTCGACCCCCATGCTCAATATGGGCTCGCCATGCTCAGACCAAGTCACCACCGAGAGTGCAACGAGGCCGTAAGGTTGAGCAAGCAAGCCGGCAACATAACAATCACGTGCAATTTGATCAACTTCTAATGAGATCGCTCTGGTTTCAACGCCGTCACTTTCGCAATGATCATGTCAACAGTGCTCGACAGGTCGCCATGATTGGCCAGGAGAGACGCAGTTCAACGGTTAATTTCGAAAAAGCTGATTGGCTGAAGATCTGTTAACCGGTCTTCCGCGTCAAGCAATGACACTTCAACATCAAGCAACTTATACAAGCGGTGAAAGGCTAGCGCAATTGGAGCCGTAGAACCCCGAAAAGCACGAGCACTCGCCGCTGTTGTAGTTGCAGATGCCTCGGTTAGCGCAATCGACGTGACACAGGTTGTCCGGCGCGCCAGTGCCGCCGCCACCGTCTGCCACGACACCTTCACAGTCCGTTTCGTCCACTGCAGTCATCGGATCGTCACCTGAAGGGCAGTGCACTGTGGAGATATCAGCATTGGTCGCACAAATAGTGTAATTACACATCACGCACTTCGAGAGCAGTCGGGTCCAAAATACTGCGAGAGCTGCGATTCGCCTGCGCCGAGACCCACGGGCCAGGATGAATCGCACAAGCAGCCTTGGATGCGATCTTGGTCCCATGTCGTCGCGGTCACATCTCCCTCGTATTTTGTAGGAGGCGATAGTGGAAATGCACTGGGCGCTGCCGCCAGCTCGCGCATGCTCAGACATTGTCCGTGACCAGAGCAGCTATTGGGACAACTACCTATCGACAAGCATCGTGTCAAGAGGTTATCGCAGCCAGCATCCTGTCATTCAACGTACTCCTCTGGCAGGCAGATCCCTCGAATCCATAGTAGCAAATGCAGGTGCCAGTGGTGCGATCACATACTCCAGCGCCGGAGCATTCTTCCTTGGGGTGGGAAATCGTTGCGCTGGTTGGGATCCCTCCCCATGACGGACCTGCCGGGCATATTCCTGTGACAACTCGCATGCATGAGTAAACAGTCCAACGCAGATAAATTGTGGATACCGCATACGTAGTGAACAGTCCGGTGATCGATAATTGGTGATATCCGTCGGAGCGCCAAAGCCCTCGTAACAAGTGCACGTCTTGGTCAATGCGTCGCAGCGTCCGTGAGCGTTGCAATTGTTCAGAGCAGCGCAGAGATTTCCGGTTGGCACGCCCAGCTGTGCACGCACGAGCGGGCAGATGGCAATGACGAAGACGCACACGAGCGTTGTGCAGCCCCGTCGAGGAAGCATTGCCTTCTTGGATCGCGAGTATCTACACCGCCAGATGGCTACATTCCCCGTACCTCGACGACACCGGTACAAGAACCGCGACTCTTCGTCACGCCTGATAACGGGCAAATGGTCCTCATCTTGCAACCTTTGTTAAAACCAACTGCCATATGGAAAGGCTAAGTTGCTAAATCAGAGTCAAATACGAGAAAAAGATCATCAGGTTGGTTTCAACGGCAACAACCGAGTCCGCACTCGCGGTAGAGAGCAAACGCTCAAGAAGGGGAAGAAGCCACCTGAGAAGCAAGCGGCAAACCGAGGAAGTCCACAGACTCTCTGGTGTACCTACGCTGCGTGTCCGGTGTCTATAATCCCTCTGCCCTTCATTGCGAAACTTGCTCTGCCATGGACCGGCCGCCGACGCCCAAGAGTCCGCGGCCGCCGACTCCAAAGAGCCCTCGGCGTCCGCTGCCGGCCATCGAGATCCCTCTAAAGAGCAACGTGAGCTCAGACAAAGCTCCGTCGCTCCCCTCGTCGCCCACGGCCGCCAGTGCCGACACTCTGATGCAATTGCCCTTCGTCACGCCCTGTTGTTCACTGGCGCTGCAGTCCAAGCGCGTGTGGAACGTACGCAACGCGCTGGTGGCGTCCAAGATGGCCACATGCAGCATCGAGACGCTCACACAGACTGTGGACGCTCGAGCAGCTGGAGACAGCGCGTCCATGCTCGAGAAAGACGGATTCGTGGACTTGGTGCGATCTCTTCCTGAACTGCGTACAGGAGCGACGTTCAAGCCCATGGAGGAGTCTCTGGAGCGAATCTTCCGCTCATTTGAAGCCACCAACCGTACCGACATCTACCAATTAGCGACGGGTTGTTTGGTTCTGCTACCGGGCGAAATAAAGCGTAAAGTGGAGGTCGCCATGCAATTCAGCCTCTGCGGCTGTGGAGTAGATGGCTCCAGTCCCATCACGCTGTCCATTGCACGTACAGCTCTGGGCTGTTTGTTACTCTCCGTCTCCGCTGTGTTTGATCTAGAGACAGCGACCGAAGACCAGTTGCAATCCACTGCGTCTATTGTTACAACGTGTGTGGATGAGACGGTGGCGCGTATGTTTGCGGCTAATTCCTTGGCAAAAGACGCCACTGCGTCGTTTGAAGAGCACATTTGGCCATGGATAGAATCCAACAGCAGTGCCAATAAATCTGTGCCGTGGATTAAACTACTCGATCAGAAGAAATGGCCCGGATCCAAGAAATTAACGGCGTCGACACCTCCAGGCACTCCTACCAAGTGGGGATTACCCGACGGCCCACCTACATCAAGTGAGAGAGGAGATGACAACGACTATGAAGATGAAGAAGACCCAGCTGAGCTGAGCTTCCGGTTCTCCAGTGTAGACGGCGGTTTGTTGACTATTGGCGAGCAACAAGCCATTGATCTGTACGATTTGTTAGTGCAATCGGCTTTCACGCGTGTGAATCCTCAGGCAATGTACGATACGTTTGTACAGCATACAGGGGACGGCCTCCTTGAAGAAGAGACATTTCTGGAGGCCATTGAGGAGCTCCTCAGTATGACGGACAAGCCACATTTGATGGAAAACAATACGTTCTTGGAGAGTATGCTGGCGATCTTCCGGTCTTTCCTACCGGAAAAGTGTCCTACAGTAGACGCCTTCGAGATTGCAGCTGGCTTTAGTCTGATGTCGTGGGGCTCCAAGAGCGACAAGCTCGCTTCTGCTTTCCATTACTTTGACGCAGATAGCAAGGGTTATTTGAATCGTCAGCAGCTATGGAGATTCTTACGGTCTGTTCTGATCACGCTGCTGCATTTGTCGCCCCCTGCTGAGGTTGTCTTGCACCGATATGGTTCATTGGCGGAGCTTGTGGACAAGGGAGAGGAGGAAATCTTAGAAGCCATCATGGAAGGGCTTCCTAGTGAGGCTGAATATGACGACGAAGACGAAGACGACGATAACGAGGAAAAAGCAGACGCTGATAGTGAAGATGGCGACAATTATGTGGATGAGATTGATGGCGATCGTGCTCGTGTGAACTCGGACATGCGACTTGGTCTGTACACGTTTGAAGATTTCGGGTTGTGGTATAATGGCGGAGGTTTCAAAGGAATGAGCTGGTTGGAGCTGCTGGACCTTCGCAAGTGGGTGTTTGTATCGCCTGCGTTCAATCTGGAAGGTCTGGATACTCGCTCTGTGGATCCAGTCGTGGCAAGCAACAATTACTACACTGCCAACAATATTCAAGTGGATATTGACGCGGTAGACCCGCCAGATGGAGTTCCTGGTGTTAAGAAGCCATACTTCACATTCGCTGATGTTATCGACGAAGAAGATGACGACGATGCCGCTGTATCGACCAGGGAGCATCCAATTCCTTTGTCAGCATCCATCGAGTCGTCCTCTACTGCTGTACGCTCTTACAACAGCAGTATCCCTGCAACATTACCGGCTATTTGTCTGAAGAATGAGATTGTGCTAGAGTTCGACTTACCGTTCGATGCCGATGATGACGCCATCACAGAGCTGCCGATAACAACGTTAAGCTTCGACAACGGTGATTTAATCCAGTACTTCGAACTACAGCGTGTCATCAAGCTCAACCAGGTGCAATTGTACCGCGTATACGACGTATTTGAGCCATTCATGGAAGACCCGGCTTCCTCGTGTATTGAGAAGAGCACGTTCGACAAATGCGTGGGCAAACTCCTACCTGCTAACGTCGCTCCTAGCGTGGCTGCTGCATTTGGAGCGAATAGCAACACACGCATCCCGCCGCGAAGTGTAGGACGTGGAAAAGACCCGAAAATGGTTGCGGATACGCTCAGTCGACTGTTTTTCGCCTTCAACCGTGGCGGAACAGGCAAGATCGACTTGGTCGAGTTCGTGTCGGCCTTCACAATTTTCTGTGCCGGATCCAAGAGTGAGAAACTCGCGTTTGCTTATCGTTTATTCGACGCTGATGGAGATGGCTGCCTGACTCGCAGAGAGATGTGGAAGTATTTGAGGTCGTTCTTAACAATGCTGTTGGCCTTAGGAAATGGCTCGGAGCTGTCTGCTGAAGCCATCGCTAGTGTAGCAGACACCACAGCGATCGAGATCGCGGACTGCATCTTCAAAGACACGGACAAGACCTTCAGTACTAGACAGTCGATCACTTCCATGCAAGGCAGTCAACGCCATAGCTTGGATCTCCCGTTGTCAGCCGACACGGCCTCGTTTAGGAGCTCGTCGCGTCATCATCGAAGTGGACGCTACGAGCACCGCGGGTCATTCCCAGGAGACGGCAATCTTCAGCTGGTCGGAGCTGCGTCCCATGCGTCAGGTGTTGGCGCTGGCAGTGCATTCATTCGTGGTGGTGTGGTGTCTTTCGAAGAATTCGCTGTCTGGTATTCGCAACATGGCTACACGATCATCGCGTGGATTGAGTTACTGGATACCAAGAAATGGCCTGAGGTGCCTCGTTCAGTATCTGACGCTATTCTTCGCTACATCAGTCGTCAGCAACATGCACTCGAGAATGCAACGCAAATGGGATCGGAGGAGACTGGCTCCGGGTCATCTAACGATACGGTATCCTCTAACGAGAGTTCTCACCGCGTACATGAGTCTTTGCAGCCAAACTTCCCTGACTCCGACATGACGGTGCTTGATACAACAGCCTTCCGGACTGTAGATCGCTACGCTGTGGAAGCTGGGATGGATGCGGTGAGTGGAATCTCGAACCTCATAACGTCTCCGTCAGCTTCAGCGGCCGGATCGAAGGATCTCTCGTCTGTGGCGCTGCAGTTTAAACTCACGAGTTATGACAACACGGCGTTGCGTATCCGTTTAAAGGACGTAGCGATCGTGTACACGATCTCCGAGCGCATGAATTTCAGTCGAATGACGACCGGCGAGCTTGTTCATTTATTGAAGAAGCACGCACATAATCGCACACTGACGAAGCCTGGATATCTGCGAGCCATGCGCGACCTTGTCCCGCGCGACGAGCTATCAAATGAGGATCAGGAGTTCCTGTCGTTCCATTTACTGCGCATCTTCACGCTTTTCGAGAGCGAGAGCGTTATACAGAACAGTGAATCCAATGGAGACGATGGAGACGAGAACGGATTTGGAGTGGGGATGAACACGATAGCCGTGGAAACTTTACAGCTGGTCGCTGGTATGTGTGTGTTCTGCGGGACGACCAAGAGTGCCAAACTCGGTGTTTTATTTAAGCTATTCGCCTCACACGGAGACGGACATGTGTCTCGACGTCGACTGTTTGAGATGTTGAAATCGATCCTAGTGGTGCTGTTTGCCTTTTCCAGCTACAACGCTACTAGAGGCAACTCGAATGACACTGGATCTGTCCATTCCTGGAGCACTAACTCGATCGCGGAGCGTGCAGCGGGTGCCGTTGTGTCGAAACTCTTCTGTGAAGCTACGTGCAAGCGTCCTGACGCTATCAATCTCGCGGAATTTGCTGCGTGGTATGCAGCAGGTGGGTATATGGACTGTCCGTGGCTGGAGCTGTTGGATCTGTCCAAGTGGCCAGCTAAGGAAGCGTTCGAAGCCAGCAAACGCGAGAAGCCTCTGATCTATGCGTTCGACATGCTGGAAGAAGGTAGCATTTTGCACTTCACAGAGAGCGACATCTCGACGTATCTCTTCATGTTGCGGTCCACAAAACTTGGAGAGTTGAGTGTGAGTAAAGTGTACGATGCGCTATTGGCGTACGCTACTCCGTCTGCAGAGGAGGCGCTCAAGATGTCGAAAGCTGTTGGAACGCAAAGCCGCAGAGGACAGATGTACTCGTACGCCGCCGTGGAAGAAGATGAAGGCGCGTATCTTGTCTTAACGCGTACCAACTTCTACGAATGCGTGCGTAGTCTGGTGTCTAAGGACGGCATGTCAGAGAAGGCACAGCAGACGTCTTCCAAGTTGCTTTCACGGCTGTTCAACGTCTTTGATCGCAAGCGCTGCGGTCGTGTGAATGCACTGGAACTCGCATGCGGCCTCAGTATTCTCGGCAGAGGTTCCAAGAGCCAGAAACTCTCGTTGGCGTTCGATTTCATCACTAAAATGCGTCAGCAGAGACACAAAACACTCGCGAGTTATGCGCCACCACCTCCGAGTACTGCGATGGGGTTCGGTGGCTTTGGAGCTCAAGGAACGGCTACTGGCGGCTTCGGCTTCGGCCTTGGGGGTGTTCAAAGCAATCAGTTCTCAATGAGCGGTGGATTTGGATTCCCCAGTACTCGTGGCTTTGGATCGACAGCGCAAGGAATGCGTAGCGTCACGAATCGTCAGGCTCCACCTCTTTCAGTTGCCGAGATCAATGCTCTGCCTCACTCCGTGCTGTTCATCTACTTGCGCTCATTTTTGCTGGCTCTAATGGCTCTCAGTGATGGCACGTATCGTCTTGGGTTGGAGAAGATTTATGTCGAAGCTGATGACTTTATCGAGGAAGCGATGGGCGATCTCATGACGGACGTGACGGCGAATGGAGGTGCTAACATTCCAGCTACCAACGGACTTTCGGGTTATGGTAGTGCGCGCTCCCGTGCTCGTGTGACCTTCGAGCAGTTTGGCGAGTGGTACAATACAGGAGGCTACCAGTTGATCTCGTGGGTGGAGCTGCTTGACGTCAGCAAATGGCAACAGCAACAAGACTTCCAGGACCAGACGATGTCAGCAGCTGGACCGGCTTCAACGTACCAGAGCAAGCGTACATCTCCTGTTATGGGCTCTCAAAGCCGCGGACCCATGTCTACCGCTGCTCCGATGCCAGTAGAGCCCATGCAGCCAATTCAACAAACAGTGAAGCCCGTGACACGTCGACGACAGGTGCGTCAGAGCGACATTGTATCAACACCGTTTGTCCATGGACTCCCCACTGCAGACCAAGACACTAAACAAGATCCTCGCGAGTCGACGGGTGCCCTCAGTCTGAGCTCCGATGGCCCTGTTATGGTGTTCGCTGTCGCTACAGAAGCTGCTGAGTTACAGTTCTTCAACGAAGATATCTCGACCCTCAAGTTGTTCCTACGACAAACTCAACTACACACAGTGACCTCATGGGAACTGCAGGGTGCTGTCTTGGAAGCTCTGGACTTCCCTACTGCCAATACCGCTGGTATCATGTTGACTCGACGCAGTACGTTTCTCCGAGCACTGCAGAAAGTATGCGGGACTTTGCCTCTCGTCGTTCCATCGAGTGGATCGAAGGACCAGACTGGATTCCTAAGTGAAGAAGGGGTGGATATGCTGCATCGTATTCTTGGAGTCTTTGTACGTGAGCCTGCGTCGGATGATGAAGAGGAGCAAATACCTGCAGATGATGGAGACGACGAAGCGGAAGATCCGGTTGATATTGGCGCGGCGATCTGCGGTATGTTGGTGGTGTGTGAAGGCACCTTGCTCGAGAAGCTCAAGTGTTGTACTGCGTTGATCTCCGATGACGATGGCGAGAGCGCGATGAAGGGCGAAGGAGAAGGCGAAGAAGAGACGGACGGCCCGATGGTGAAGCTTGAGACGATCAAGTCCAGTCTCATGTGTTTCTTGATGGCGTTTTACGGCATGAGTAGCTCCCTAAGTGCCGAAGTGGCTCGCTATTCGGCGGAACTTGGAGCTGACGCCGTATTGCAGTCCTTCGTCGAAGTTGATGCCCCTGATCTTGATCTTGGGAAGGCAGTAGCTCTTCATGAGTTCACTGACTGGTTCAGTGATGCTGGATACCCGTCACATCCGTGGCTGGAGCTGGTGGTGCTCAATCATTGGCCTGCAGCGATTAACGTATGCGGCAGTAACGGGATTACGGACGAGGGAGAATAAAGAGTTACAGTTAGCGTTACAGTTAGCGACTTTAGATACAGTATAAGCAGCCAAATACATGTATAGTTGACTAGTCCTTCTTCTTGTGTTCTGTTGTTTCTTGTGCTGCGTCTCCATGGAGTAAGAAAGCCATCCCTATGAGGATCACGGAAGCTCCTACAAACCAGCGCGTCGGTAGATGCTCCTGGAAGAAGACGAAGCCGCCAGCAGCTGAGAGCATGAAGTTGACGGCTGCGCTGGTTACGGTGGCCGTTAGAGAGTCCGTCTCGTGCAACCCCTTGACGAAGCAGCTGAGCATGAGCCCGTTGGCGCCCAACATGAGTGCTAGACACAGCACGCGGACGGCAGAGGAGAGGAGAGAGCAGGAAGCGGACAGAGCTGAAGATTGACATTGCGCATCAAGCAACTGAAGAGCGCTGGAGTCTCCGTCAGCACCCAGTTTGCCTAACAGACCTGCGAGGGCTGCGAGAGAGCCAGCTAATGCACTGTGAAGCAACAAGGTAAGGAGAGAATAGGAAGGTGGAGCTGATGCAAGACGCACCTGTATCGCATGGTAATTGTCCAAGTGAAGAAGGTAAAGTTGCGCAAATTTTATTTAGAGCAGCGTTACGTATGTTGCGTGATGATCATATGATAAGCAACATTAAGAATTAGTATGTTGCGCGAAGGGTCGCCCACTTCAACAATCAAAGTCAACTTTACGCAGCAGGATTAATTTAAAGCAAGCACGCTAGCAGAGCACGCTATTTCTATTGTCTATTTCTGCATTTGATGAACTCGCCGTCTTATCATGACCCGCTATATTTGCCTGTGCTCACGTTGTGGGCGATACTGCTAGGGCGGCCACTTTCGACTCTGCGAAATCAATCGAGTATCGATTCGTGCACAGCTGACCTGTACCTCCTGTAATGAGCACTGTAAGACGCTATCGAAATATATCGGCGGGTCCCAAGACGCGCAGGCGCACGAATGCCGCGTTCGCGGGTATCTGTCGGACCAAAGCGCCCCCTCGCCGCTCCGCTACCACCATGCTGTGGGGGGCGTCCGCTATATCACAAATGCACCAGCCTTCCAAGCCTGTTAAGTCGAAAGGAGCCATTTCGAAAGTGTCAGGGCGCAGTAAACCGAAGCCAAAAACTTCGGTGGATGCGCTAGTTGAACGCTTCCAGTCTCTATCGAAGGCGGAGCGGTACAACGTCATCACCAAAGTGGCGAAGAACTATACGAGCGAGCTCGAAAAGATCCTGAAGACCGCCGACACAGACCAAGACGGTCTATTGAGTCACGACCAACTGCGCGGGCTATTAACGTCCCGTTTTCGTCTCCGTCCGGTGGCAAGCAACAACCCAGCCGCGTCCCTGTCTTCTCGTGCTTTGGCTCCACCAACTCGTCGTCAACTGAAGTATGTGATGATCGGCTCGGCTATTCCGTTCATGGGTTTCGGTCTCATCGACAACCTGATCCTGTTGGTGGCAGGAGATGCTATTGAGACGCATTTCCACTCGTCCTACGCCATGTCGATGCTGTGCGCCGCCGCATTGGGCAATACTGTGGCTGACGTGGTGGGTCTGAGTCTGGGCGGTGGGATCGAGTCCTTGGCTCGGCGTCTAGGCATTCCGGATCCCATGCTCTCCAAAGCGCAGGCTAACATGTCCATCACGCTCTGGTGCAATTTCTTCGCGTCTGCTGGAGGCATCACACTCGGCTGTTTGATTGGTATGATTCCGCTGCTCTTCATGAACCACGACGCATACGAGGAGGAGCAGACGGGTGTGCCTGTGAAGAGGAATAAGGACGACGTCGTCGAAGCCGCATCGGCTAATTAGGGACTGAAACGCGATAATTTAACGCCTGAATGAATCATTTTCGCGTCCGTGATAGTCACTCATTATTGCAGCCAATTCCCATGTCTGTTAAACAGCATAGATACGCATATTCGCCGTATCCAACCAGTCCTTACACTTGGAATTTGTATGCTGCTCAATATCAAAAGTTTTACTTCGGCACTCGTATCTTTGCCGCATGTTCCCGCTAAACGTTAAACCATAATGAAACCAAGACAACGCCCGTTACGACAGTTTGGCGAGTCAGTCCGCACGTCCCACGTCGTGATGCTTGAAGCTGAAGCATGCGCTTCAAGTGATCCTCATGCTGTCACCTCCGCTGCTCGAGTTCGCTATTTTAACACGACACTACCGAATTAGCAGTGACAATTACGTCGTCACGTTCTGAGCCTCACATTGCTCTTGTCTTGCGTTTCAGGGGGCTGGCAGACGCTTCCAGCCACTCATATCCGAGTACTAGTTTTGACGGTTTCATACGTTAATGCACTAAATCTATATTTGGTTTTCTGATTCTGAACATTGGTTTTCAGAGGTTATAGCTTTCCTACTTCCGCTGACGTCAGCAGTAGCCAGTGTCCGCTTTGTTGTTGCCTTGGAAGTCGAATTCATTCCGCAATTTGCATCCAAGCTCCTCCAAGCATCCCCTCAATCCCCCCTCTCTTTAATCAAGACAATGGCTGGCCGTGCTGCTCAGAGCGCTACCAAGAGATGGCTCGGTGACAAGGGCACGTGGCCCGTGCTGGTGACCTGCGTGGCCGCCTCCGCCCTGTGCACGGCGCAGTGCGTGCGCTACCTGGCCGGGCACCCGGACGTGAACTGGAACAAGCAGAACCGTCAGGATATTTTCCGCTACAAGGAGGACGTCGGCGCTGACTGGCAGTCGCACCGCCGCAAAATCGCCACGATCCACACGAACGTGATCAACGAGGCCAAGGGTCTCAACAAATAAGTCTCGACCTGCTGTGGCGTCCACACGATTCGTGCGTGACATTCGACCACCAAGACGACGTGGACCCAGTGCTGTATTTTTACATTTTACAGGCCCCTCTTGGGGATTAGAGCGAAATGCAAACACTTATTTTGATTCCTCTACTCTATTATTGTCAATTAGAGTATCTGTCGGCGCTAACTCACATGTTATTTTTTTATTTACCCTTTACGTACACTTTTTATCAGACCTAGACGACGCATTTCAAGCAGCCATCTTCTGTGCCAAGCAGCAGCAGTTGGCGTAGAGGTAACACGGCCACACTGTGAGCCACTATACGGCTCTTGTTGCTTTTACTGGCACCTCCCGGTTCCGTAAGCTGCCACGACTCCATTCGTACCGTTACTGGAGCTTGCACCAACACCACCGCTCTAGGTTCCGACGGTAACTGTACACAGTGCACACGAGCGCCACTCGCAACATACAGCACAGTAGTATCCACAGCGGCATGAACCGAGATCTGCGAGGCGCAGATTCCATCGGGTACTCCCGTAATTGTCATCCGGAGTTGTGGATGCCCGTGACTCCGCAGCATCACACGCCACACACGCGCTTCTTTATCAGCTCCAACAACCAATAACTGCGACGTCGAGATCTGTACCAAGTGAACCACACGAGCTCCCGCCTCCAACGCCTGCCATCTCGCGGCTTGTCGACCTGTTCGAGCGTCCAAAAGCACCACGCGACCGTTTGTAGTGCCTAACGCAAGATACGCTGCTCCATCCACGAACGAAGCCACAGCAGCCAAGCTTAGACCTTGAGTTACGGTGCTAGATCCGATGCCAGCAGCGTCTGCATGCCACTCCGCCACGACGCGAGGACCGGTACGTGCATCCACGCAGACTACACGCCGTGTAGTGGCCACAGCCACATCCACAGAATCGGTAGCAGCAGTCATCGACACAACAGGCTCGCTCGATGAGAACGGGAGACGCATCCGCATCTGACTGGTTCGTAGATCCCAGAGCATGACACCAGAGGCTGAGGCTGCGGCTGCCATACCATCAGCTTCTCCTGCTCCACTTCTTCCTCTCACCCCAGCTCGACCAGTACGCGCGACTGCAATGATCGGACGGTTGTCGGTAAACCCGGTTGGAGCTGCTGCTCGAGCTTGGACTGGATGACCCGATAGTCTCCATACACGACAGGATCCATGTCGACTTCCTGTTAAGAGCAGCTCCTCGTCAGCGTCCACACTCACACACCGCACAGAATTAGAGTGTGCTTTAATGGACTGTCGGATCTCAGCGCTAAGAGCCCACGAACTGCCCAGTATCCCACCGCCGCCTTCATATGTCCCTTCTTCACGTCGAGTCTCAAACGGCTGACGAACGCGAGATCGCAGCCAAATAGCGTCCGCGCCAGCACGTTCGGGGGCCAACGCAGCGCTAACCACTTTACGCTGACGACGAGCTTCCTGTAAGAGCAACAGCTCCTTACTTAGAGTAGTTTCCCACTGCGCAGCCTTCTTTCCAGACCCAATAAGCAGACTCGAAGGTACGCGAAGGAAACTGGTAGCACGAACGGAATGCAGTCGAACCGCGTGATAAGCGAACCGTAACAACTCCGGCGGATACGTCAGCGGGTCTTCAGGCTCCGCAGTAACCGAGTTATCGTCCGTATCGTCTTCATCCTCTTCTGTTAATGGAGTTCGTCGTACGTGAACTTGTGACTGCGCTAGTCGATCATCCAACGCACTTATGTTCCTTTGATCACTGCTAACCACGCGACTGCTGAACCCTCCGACTGCACTGGTATCAACGCCAGCGGTGCTGCTAAGTGGCAGTAACAGTAGCTGCAGTACTGAACTATTCGCGACAATAGGGAAGTTCCGGTTGAACAGTTCTTTGCCCAAAAGTGTACGCAAAGGTACACACAACTCACTGACCAACTCGCTGGCGAGATCCCATTGGAAATTCGACACTTCCAGCTCTGCATACACGTCACTGCAGCGTTTGAGAAACCGGTTGATACCGTTCACAACGATAGAGTCTGTCACGGTAGCTTCGGCTCCGAGTTTCTGACACACAGCCACGATCGTACGTGACAGCCCCACAACTGTAAACGCGCGAAGATTGCGATGATCCGCGTCCTTCATGAAGTTCAAACTGCGCAAAACTTTCTTCTTCGTTGAGCTCGTAGTCCCACTGGACGTTGCAGGGACGGAATCAGTTGACTGGGTGGCCGTCGCTGCTGCAATCACCGCAGTAGCCACTCGAGGGTGTAGGAACGGAGGAGAAGCTTGAGCCAGTAACTCCATCAGGTTGCTACGAGCTCGTCGAGATAGTAGATCTTGCAGAGACGCTGTATCATTTAGCGTACGGACCACGTGTCTTAGAATACGTAACAGCACATAGATCTCGCGTCCAAGTTCCTCCTGTTAGAGATCAATTACAGTTAGAGAGTTCAACGTAAGTAAATTACAGAATAATTTACGTACCGGGACGCCTTCAATGCGTACAGAGCCGATCTTCTCGGACAGAGTTACAAGTTTTGGCAGCACTTCAAACAGCCGTGGCAACAACATAGTAGCAACCGGATACTCGCCAAGTTCTCGACATACCTGAAGCACAGCGTCTGCTACATGATGGGATTCGTACAACTTGGTCTTGGACAGGAACGTTAAGTGGAACTCCGAGGTGCCCACTCCTCCTTCAACGATAACTGGAGCCAAGATGACCTTCTTGTCTGTACGTCGCAATGTCTTCGACTCCGCGAGATGCGTCCATCGACTTTTAACACGTCCAAGCTGGTTCAATAACGCTGGGAGGAGATATTTCGCCGTCAACGATGGTCCAAGCATCGCTGGAGACGAGAGTTCACCGAAAGCCACAGCAGTAAGCGCAGCAGACTCAGACGCGAAAGGTGGCAACGGCGGAGAGCGAACAGATAGCGGCGTCAACGAAGATCTCAGCTCCACGTCTGAGTCCGCTGCAACGGGAGGTACTAGCCACTCCAGTATTACCGGGACGATACTGTCGAGTACCGCAGCGGCTCCAAACGCTCGGATTAAAGACAGCAACACACTGGGTGCTCCAAGACAGCAGCGAAGTAGTGGCGAACGTCCGAGATCGCTACATTCGTACACTCGTACGACATCAGGGAGTAGCTCAACACGCGCTCGATCACGACCAAGTTGACGTGCCATCTCAGGGAGTAGGAAAACCACAGCAGCAGTCACGCGTTCGGCGCGAATAGTCTCAGTATGGGAGCTGGCTCGGAAGAAGCGCACGAGCTCGGGCATTGCTACACGGAAGAGCATCTCGGACAGACCGGACAAGGACGACAGCAGCTGCCGAGCGGGTGTGAATCTCGCATGCCAATCATGTTCAGGGCTGCTGTGAATTTTTGTCAGGAACTTGTACACGACCGCTAAGTCCTTGGGGAACAACGCAGACGGCGCAGCGTGGAAAGAGTCTTGAGGTACAGTCGATAGCACACACTCACGAGGAGTTAACACGGAGCTGCGTAGCACTGTAACAGGCTCCAGTCCTTCGATATGACAGGCAAGACGCAGTCGCTCGCGAGGGTCTGGATGTAGCATATCCAGAACTCCTTTCTTCAAGTTGAGTGGTAAATCTGCTAGTCGTTCAGATATGACGTGGTTCCAGGAGAGTTGACTGGATGGAGGGCTGCATTGGGCCGCCAAAATACTTGAAATCCAGCCGTCATCTTCATTGTTCGCCTTGGTTTTCATCAGGGTCTGTTGTCGTTTGTACGCAGTGATGTATTTCTCCAGAGAACGTCGTGTAAACACCGGCGTGTGAGTGTACAGTTCAGCTGCGATACAACCCATGGAGAATATATCAGCAGCTTGTGCTCGCTCAAACGGAGTCAGCTGGTCTGTAACCTCCAATAGCTCGTCAGGAATACGGTAGATTGGATCTACCACCTCATCAGCAAAGGGTTGTTCCTCATTAAGCCTCGGCGTCTCGGTTCCCTGCAATTCAGACTCCACTTTGTTCTCTTTATCAGCACCAGGAAGAATAATCCGCAATCCAAGCTGAAGCAGCTTTAAATCCACATCATCCAGTGGCCCACAGGCGTCAATACCCGGCGCAGGGTCCGCAACAGCGTCTAAATCCGACATTTGCATATCTCCTGAGCCTCCCAGAGCGAGCATAAAGTCGTGGCCAGCACTCGCACTGCGTCGATGTCCATGTCCACTGGTGCCGTTATTTCCCGTTGATTCCTCCTCAGGCTGACGTAGTTGCTGCCACAGATCACGTAGCAAATGCGAGCCGGTATTTGGACTCCCACTTCCCAGAGAAGCGTGTCGAGTGTGATGCGCGGTCGAAGCTCCTTCCCTGCGTTCTCCAGCTGATCCACCAAGTCCATTAACGTTCCCGCTCACTCCCTGTGGCGTTGTAATAGTGAGAACACGCAGGTGGTCGTTAGGTCCGCCACTTCCTGTAAAACTCCGGCTGTTGCTTGAGTTGGGTGGACTAGCAGTCGATTCTACGCCGTTAGCACCACTGCCTAGACTATTGTTGTTGCTGTTGCTCGGATTTGAGTCGGAATGGAATAGATTCCCCAGCCTTGACGCGCCTAAGCCGCTAGATCCCGATCCCGATGGCGCTGGAGGTGACACAGCTTCACGTCCTCCAGCAGACCGGAACGCCGGCGGAGATACCAAAGGATCAGCTCCCGTAACATTCGCTTGCGACCGCGCACGTGGTTTGTGTCCTCGTCGACGTTGTTTCAGGTTGCGCATGATAACTTGACTACGCGTGGCTTCATTCGGAGACGCTGTCGTACTCACGGCATTAACTCCGCTGGCTCCAAAACTGGTAGCTGTATCTCCACTTTGACTATGCAAAAGACCGAAGCGCGACACCTCCACTTCTTGAGCGCCTGTTCTTGGTCCTAGCACGTTGATTCCACCTCCATTTAACGTCAAAGGCGACAAGAAGAGTCCGTCTTTCTGTGCATCTGTCACCACTTGCATCGCTCTGGATAGCATGGCATTCACCTCCTTTGGAGTGCCTTGTGGTCGCACTGATCGTGGCGTGTCTGGTTCAGTCGGCTCGCTTTGTTCTTCTTGTTGATACTGGCGATAAACTCGCATCGGATGCTCCATCTCGAAGAGCTGGACGAAGCCAGGACTCTTCCCGGCTGCGTGTACAACAAGAGGAACGTTCTTCTCTCGAATAGCAGCCTCGCCACTCAATGCAGCGCCGAAATTCAAGTCAATCCACTTGTGCAATTGCGCAGACACTTCGTCGCTCTCCAGCATATCCCGATGGCTTCGTACAAACGCCGTCGCAGGGTCTCGATCACTATCTCCCCACTCTGGGAACTGCAGGTCCTCCATATCTTCTCCATGCAGTGATTTGAACACCTCCGGGTCGGTATAAAACTCTGGAATGCACTCATCCGGTGTCCACTCATACATACGCGCCATTGTGGCTGGATACTCTCGTGCCTGGAAATCTCCACGCACTACAGTTCGTAACAGCGCCATGGGCGTACGTCTAGCAGAATAAATGTAGTACGTGATCTCCGATAAACTCTCAGTGACATGGTGAGGTACAGCGCTGCTCGCAAAGGTACGATCGAGTTGTGCGTCGCCTTTGTTGAGTCGAAACTTGCTCTTGCTTAGATCTCGCCAGCCGCCTGTGAAGTCTGTGACCCAGGGAAGAAACGGATGGAACACGCCGTCCTCCATGCGCCGTCCAGCTGCAGTGTTGAGGACCATTAGGTACTCAAAGTTACTAATGTCTCCAGTGCACCATCGCTCCGTAATGGACCTGGAGGAGAAGCACTCAACATCACGAGGAATAGAGCGTGATGGCTCTGCAGATGCGTAGGAACAGGCGTCCAGCACACGAGGCAAAGCAGCTAAGTGCAGCCACAATGTGTCTGTGAGGTATAAATCACGGGGCGAGAAGCCGTCGCAGGCCAAGCCACGCTCGTGTAGGAACTCCAGCACGCGACATAATTGAAAGAGTACAAGACGCTTCTTGAGGTCTCCGAGTGCGTCTTGCTCCTCTTCACTCGGTTGCTCGGCGTCCATGTCCATATCTCGCTGACCTTGTAGTACTGATCGATTGTACTTGAGCACATCTTGTAGTGACTGCGAGTCGTACTCGAACACGGCAAACGTGCTGATTGACGTTGAAGCTGTCGACCCGTGTTCTGTGTAGACGCCTCTGAGCATGGGTAAGTGGGCGTTCTGTGGAGTTGCATGGTTCTCGAAGAGTCCACGCGTGATCTTGCCACCGTCTTCAGGTTTGTAAAGCGGGATATCGGCGTACAAGCTCTTGAGTACGTCTCTCGGCGACATCTACCGCATCACAGCACAACTCCATTTTAGCCCTGTTATTGTCTACCCAACCAATTATTGTGTGAGCTAAAATTCACCTTTTGGAGCTCACAGACGTCACTCTGCTGCGGTTCTCGCAGGGAATTTTGCGTCGAAGCATCCACAAGCTGCTCGACACGTCCGAAGCCTAATTCCCGAGCTAGAAGCGTCTCCAAGTCTCTGGGTTGACTGTTTTGCTCTGGTTTCAGGGCATTTTCCTTCGATTTGGGGCTGGTTTTGGGCTCCGAGGATCGCTGAAGCGGCGGAAGCTCGCGCACGAGCCACTCGGCCAATCGCGTCGTGTCTTTCGGGTGGGCCACGAGACAACGAGCAGCCGTCGGGTCCGAGGACGCGAAGGAAAAGTCCCAGCCCAGAGACGCCCGCAGCGCTTCGCGCACGTCGGGGCGGGGCGATGCCATCTATACGTAGCTCTTCGTCCGATTGCCGAGTGGGCAGATCGGCGAATCTGATTGGGCGAAAAGAAAAAAGCTCTTATTCTGTTTGTTACTTTTGCTTACAATTTAACAGCAAAGCTAAAAATTAACGTTAAGTGGACATCATCAAGATTCATGTAAAGTATTGAGTTGAGGCGATGACTGTGAAGCTACACGCTTGGAGACGTGAGAATATTCAAATACATATTATTTGGTACGGTTGCTTGAGTAGATACGCATCTAGAGTACTTCTTGTTGTCGTTGTCGTTGTCGGTGAATACAAATGTGTGGGCAGTTTTGCCTACGCATCGAGCACCCAGCTCGATTTGCAGGCCTCTTCGCACGAGATCCGCTTGCTCGGGTCGGGGTGTAGCAGAGATGTCAGCAGGAACACAGCCGGCGGAGATAATGTGGACGGGAAGAACCAAGTCGGAAACGCCACGCATCGACGTGGCTGGACGCCGCCCGCGCCTGCAGCTCCAGACTTGAGCAAATTCGCGTCGGACGAGAACGGACTGTTGCCACGAGCAGACGGAGAACAGGATCCAGCCGCCTGATTCTGACTCCACAGCGTATTGGAGCTGTTCAGCATAAGTCCCAGCATCGGCGCCGTCGCGTGGAAGCTCGGATGTGTAGGTGACATCTCTGGCTGCTGCATTGAGCCACTGGAGCTGCCAGTCTGGAACAAATTAGCATCAAATACGAGCTTACCAGTGTGCGGATCACACGGCAGAGACCGCAGCCACTCGCCGAACTTGAGATATCTCGGACATGTCGCTAGATCTCGTCCGAAGGGCAGTGTGCCCACCAGCAGTCCATACAGGATGACGCCACTGCTCCACATGTCTGCTTTACGGCCGTCATATCCATAGCGAGCGTTCTGTAGGACCTCCGGCGCCACATAGTGGGGAGATCCGACGATCGAGTTGAGTCGTCGAAAGCGCGAGGGCGCCATGAGGTTCGTGATGCCGCTCTCGCCGTTATTGTCGTGGTCGTCGGCACTGGCTCCACTGCTTACAGCGGCGATAAAGTGCGCTGAGAGCCCAAAATCCGCGATTTTGAGCACATCTGAGTCGCTTAAGAGCAGATTTTCAGGCTTGAGGTCGCGATGTACAATACCCAATTGGTGGCAGTAGCGGACGCCCGCCAGTAGCTGCGTAAAGTACGTCCTGGCCACGTCTTCCTCTACGCCAGAGTCTCCGCGAATACGGTCGAACAGCTCGCCTCCATATGCGAGCTCCAGTACTAAAAAGATCGTCGACTTGGACGGTTGTACGAGTTCTAGAACATCATACAGTTGAAGAACATTTTCATGGCCGCTACCGATCCGCTCGCCACTTACGCTGTTGCCTGTGAGCTTGTGCATGTGCGCGATCTCGCGGTAGATGGTCTTTCTGGCCTGCAGGAACGCACGGTACTTGGCCGGTAAGTTTGGGATGACGTAAGCCACGTCGTTGACTACAACGACCTCCTCCCCGTCCTCTCTGGCCTCCTCTTCTTCTTCAACCTGCTCCAACTGCATGGCCGCAGAAGCCGCAGAGGCCGCCGACGCAGTCGCTAGATTCGCTCTCGAAGGCTCCTGTACTGGGTCCTCGCAGGACAAACTGGCTGCCATCCGGTCTGCACTTCTGGGTCGTCTCCTTCGCTGAGTCTGCGGCTGGTCGCGTAGTTCCTCGTCGTGGTGGTCCAATAGCCACAGACTCACACACATCTCCAGTGTGAGTTCTCTCAGCACAGGAGGAGCAGAGCCGCCTCCGGTCACGTAACAGGCCAGCAACTCCCGTCGTCTGGGGAGATGCACCCAGTACACATTGTCCAGCGTCATACCGCGCACGTTGCCCACTATCGGCACTCCTTTCTTGACGATCTCGGCACGTCTGAGAGCGCCAGGACTCGTGAGTTTGTAGCCCACCGGGTTGAGGATCTTGACGGCGACCGGTCGCTTCATGCGCTGGTCAAACGCCTCATACACGACGCCAGCGATGCCTCCGCCCAGGTAGTTGCCCATTACGAAGGCGGCCGCGCTCGGAGACGACGACAGTGTGATGTGCTGGCCGTCGTAGCTCGCGACGCGCTCGGGCGACACGTCGGCCTCGCTCAGAGGCATGTACTTGTTCTTGAGCAGCGCCATGTCGTCTCAATATTAGGAATTTTTGTATGTGGTTATGACAGAGTGGTTAAAAGTTTCGTTTAGGTAGGTGCGTTTTGCCTTCTTCGGAGCGATATTCCTCCCGCGTGTGTGCTATTTTATCCCCTGGCGGCTCAATAGTGGCCGACGACCTGAGCAGGCGAAAGCGCAAATGGGGAAGGAATGCAGAGCCCTGCCCTGGCCTGGCGCTGTGAAAAACCGAACCAAGATTTTAGTGGACGTTTTATGCGCGGCCAATAATGGGGGCATCCCGGCTTGAACGCGCTTTGGGGTGCGGTTGAGTCTGCTGCTGTTAGCACACGCTCGGGGAGGGATGGAAGTTTGCTGTGAGGGTGCCCATGGGTGCTGCGCTGCGTCAAGATGGTGGCGCTCGTAGTCGACAATGCCACGGGAAAACCAGAGCTGGCCATGAAGCTCAGTCGGATCCGGTTCAGTGCGCCACACTGACTCCACTGCGTGTGTGGTGGTCGTAAGGGCTACGATCGAGCTGAATACGATAGTCGAGCGCTTGAAGCTTTCAACGGCATTATGAATGCTTGCCCTTTACTGTTGCACTTGCAAGCGTCCTTGCAAGTTGATTGCAGCTCGATTCGAAGGCAACTTCTCGTGACAGAGAGCGGTGCGGGCTCATGACGAGGTTCTTCCGACGCTGCTTCGGTCCATCGTCGCAGATTTTCGCAGGACGAATTACACTGCGATTTACGACTGGATGACGCTCCGATTTAGACATGACTTGGCTTTTGTAAGGGATTCGTCTGACTATCCAGCTAAAAATTAGCAACAGAAGTCAGACCAGTTGCATAAACGCGCGTCGCTAGTCGATCTTCAATGGGCCTGCACCAACGCAGCAGCGCTGGCAGCTCCGGGCAATGATAGCAAAGCGCGCGGAGATTATGCCGTGGCTGGCATTGCAGTAGTCTCGACTGTTAGTTTATCCCCCCCTCTCTGCCATAGATAGCGATGACATCCAGGAACACGTAGCGGTTTCCTAGGCGAAATAAGGGTGAGAGACGAATTTACTCGTCCCTCTGCCACCTGGTCAACACCGATCCGGTAAACTTTTTCACAAGCACCTCCGCCGTTTCAAGAGCGGCGCTACTGCGGCCTGAGTTTCTCTCTCTTTTCCAATAAGAATTGCCAGTGCGTTGCTTATTCACAGCTCGTTCCGAGACAGAAAGAGCAGTCTAAAAAAATGCATTGAATCATGCTAAAAAAAATGCCGTCGCCGAATCATACCAGCAACTTTGTTGTTTCCCGCGGCAGTGGAGCGGTATGATACATGTACCCTCCAGCGTTGTACTCGCTGGCTTGGTCAATCGCAGAGGAACATTTTGGAGTGCCCAGTTAGCTTGTCAACCCGCCTCCAGCTGAAGGCACAGCATGCTATGCATGGATACAGATAGTATGACAAAACGGACTTTACCCTGCATGCAGCACACAGTCCAAATAATGGGGCAACATTGCAGGCAAATCCGAGACGCAGATGGACAGTGCGGCACCGCATGGTAGCCCAGGCAGCCTCACGACACTATTGTACGCCTGCACACATTCAAAGTTGGCGAATGCTGCGGCTAATACAGCCATCACAAAGCCTCCTTCTAAAAAAGCCTGCAGACTTTTCCTACGGAAAGTAGACTTTGGTCTCCCTCGAAGTCCCTCCAATGGTCCTCATCTACAAACGGCAGCTCATTTTTAGTCACACATCGCATATAATGCTATACTATTGAAAATCCGTTTCGAGAGCATTTTTGCTTCAAAATTCCGCCCAATCAGATTCGGTACCGTCGACAACTTCAACTTCGCATTGCAATCTTCCAGCGGGAGAATTGCCAAAGAATGTTTGCCCCACTGGCTCATTCATGTTCTACCTACGATGTGTTGGAGCCTGTAGACGGGAATATGGTCGGAAGTCTCTCTTGTAGCAGTGGCTGAGCTTGCACAAAGCGGCAGATATCCATGACGTTGACGTGTTTAAGCTTTGGATGGTCCTTCCGGAACTTTGCGCTTACGGCGTTCAGCTGAGCTTCGGTGAACTCCATCTTTAGTGAAATGAAGATTGCGTCAAGCTGAGCGACCGGAAGACTCAAGACAGGAGTAGGATCTCCCTGCTTTTTCTTCTTGGTAGAGCTGGACAGTATATCTTCGAATGCCATAGTAATTCTATCGTACAGCGCTTGTTGTTGAGCCTCTTCAGCTCTTATCGCAGCCAATTTGTACTCAAGTCGAAGGCGAGTCACTTTCCTCATGGCATTTCGACGACGATATCGTGCTTGAATCTTGCGAGCTGCAGTCTGCCTAATAGCGAGATCTTGCTCGGCTTCGAGGATGATTCTCCGTGCTCGATCTTCTTCTTCAGCCTGTTTCGCCTGCCACCGTCGGAATAGTGCAAAGGCGTCAAACTGTTCTTCCTCTCCAGCGTCTTCCAGTTTTGTCAGTGCTTTCTTACTACGCGGAGTGAGCTTAGCTCGCTCAATCCGTCTCTTGTAGTCCAACATGTTCTGAAAGAGCTCAATGGTTCCTTTACGTTGTGGAGCCAAGGCCAGAGCTTTAAGATAATGATTCGTAGCCTCATCATACTGTTCGTAAAGCCATTGGACACAAGCCGCATAGTTGATGTGGGCTTCAGCATCGTCCGGATTCTGGAGAATTGCCTGCCGGAAGAACCCTAAGAATGCCACTTTGTACTTAACCAACGTCGGGTCCGCTATCTTACCACGCAATATCATTTCTTCCACTAGCGTCGTGTCTTCTTCCTGCGTAATATACAGGAAGATACCATACGAGAAGAGAATAAACGGGATATCTGGCCCTCGCTGTGCCATCACTCGCAAGAGTCTTCCGTAAAGCGGTCGTGCACGTTCATAGTCATGTGTGATAGTATGCAGGTACAACACATAGTTGGCCATTTTAGCCAAATGGGTCGGATCCTCCAGATACTCTTGCTCACACGTCCTCATTAGTCTCACTGCACGCATTACCATTTGGAACGAAATCCGAGCAATGCGAGTTCGCCACAGTCTCTGGAGACTCTGAGCCGCTTGTTGCATTCTTTCCGTATACCCCCAACGTACCAGTTGTTGTCGATTTTCAAAAGCTTCTCGGTCGTGCTGGATCCAAGGCGGAGGCTGTTGCCAGCTACACGCACGTGTCACTTTATGGCAATAGAATAGAACGCCAGGGAAATCTGGTTGTGCGTCCATCTCGTCCCAAACTTTAAATGATCGAACCACTTTTGAGCGCTTTCTTAATGCCTCCCATTCAAAGTAATTCTTGGGCCCAAGTCTCTGGATAACCTTCTCACGATGCCCTCGTTTACGGCCCTTAAAGCCTCGAAAAACACGTTGAATGTCTCGTGCAGCGAGTCTGCGTTTAAGATGCAATTGGCGCTGAGAGCGAAGGTCTCGGGCTTCTCGTTTGCGTGTAGCATGGCCACGATAGAGAGCTTGTATCTTCACGATCTCAATTTGCTGTACTCGCATCATTTTGGCTTGTCGACGAGCTTTTCTCCCTCGGAATGCGCGTTGGAGATGTACAGCACAGCGATTCTGATGTAATAAAGCCTTGATGAGCAAGTGTGTTCGTCGGGCACGGAAGTGACGCTGGATTTTGATCGCAGCACGCATTTCCTTGCGCATTTGAGCGCTCTCCTCTTCAAACCCGCGGAAGAAACGCATGTATTCCATCGCAGAGGCACTGAGTTCATCGGTTGATACTTTTCGGACACGAGCACGTAGTAATTTCATGCTTTTGGAATTCTGTACTACGTCTTGCAACAGTGCGTAGTTGATAGGCGGAATGGTCGACGTGAGTTCGTCCGTAACCCGGTTGTGGTACAGATAATACCTACTATCAACCGCAGACGGATCCTGTTCTTCGTCCAGGGCAGTTGTTGTCGAGGGACCACGTACGATCTCCCAGATTTCGCCCATAGATGCATCGAACTCTACGGGGGTGTCCCACGTGTATAAGTGCTCACCTGAAGGCCCCAAGCTGTAGTAAAACGGCACCTCCGTTGCTGCGTCGATATACTGCGTCCACTCCGCCAGAGAACCCATACAATACGCCTCCGAGACTGCCGCAACCCACTCCGATAGTGTCCGGTTCTTATGGGGATTTTCGTCTTCAACATTTTGCTCATGATGACCATCACTCTGATTCTCAGGTCTTTCATGACTTTCCTGATTACCTTCCTCGTCCTCAACCGGCTCAAGCTCCGGGCTGTCTGCATTCTTCTTATCTGCACATTCCTGTGCGAAATACGCAGCCACAAAGTCTACGACTGCTGCTTGATCGTTCATACGAGCCATACCCAACGGCGTCTTGCCGTCGTAGTTTTTTAGGTTCATATCTCCGCCATAATCAATCAGCAACTTTAATGTGTCGACTGCTCCGTTGCATGCGGCGATGTGCGTCGGATGGTTTCCCAGTGCGTTGGCACAGATCAAAGCGCCGTTTGTGAGCAAGAGATGGGTGCAGGCCAGGCGATCATCATCCACGCAGCTCACATGCAGCGGCGCATCGCCGTCTGTGTCTTTCACATTAACATCCGCGTCATACTGAATAAGCAGGCTCACAAGAGCTTCTCGAATCTCTGCATCGTCGGTAATTAACGCAAAGTGAAGCGGTGAACGCCCAAAGTAATCCTTAACGTCAGGACCAGAGTCTGCTTCCAATAGACACTCTGTAACATCGAGATATCCATTGCTAACCGCATAAATCAATGGCGTATAACCCTCCGAGTCGCACAGATCAAGCGCGTCATAACCAAACACTTCAAGTCGTTGTCGAATATGGGCAACCAGCACTCGAACGCAGTCTACTAAGCCTCGCCCAGCACCAGCATGTAGCAAGAACTCTGTAGTGCGACCGGTATCACCAGTATCGAAGCTTCCAGACTCTAGAAGGACCTTGAGTGTGGCGGAATAATTTCCTTCAACTGCTAATTGAGGCGCATTAAGATTGCTTCCAGACGTCCTAGCTTCGGTGTTGGCTCCATGGTTCAGTAGCATATCCACAGCTTCACTTTGACCCAGTGAAGCACACAGCAGGAGAGGCGTAAACCCTTCTTCATCCGGTGCTTCATGCCACGCTCCGTGCTCGATCATATACTCTCCAAGCGCCACTCGTTCGTCTCGTATTCTCACATCACTCACATCATATACGGCATTCGAAGGAGGTAAGTTAGCAAGTAGCAGATGCAATGCAGTTTGGTTATGATAATTCACGACATTGATGTCGAACGAGTTGCGCAGACAGAGCTTCACTAAGCGTTTGTGTCCTGCAGCGGCTGCAAGGTGAAGGATACTGTTGCCTTCATTGTCTGTGACGTGCCAGAACCCATTCGCAATAGCGCGTTTGACAGTCGTGTAGTCTCCTTTATACGTGGCTAGCAGAATCTTCTCCGTACGTACAGCCGCCACGTATTTCTTCGCCTTGTATCTCCTCCAAACGGTTTGGATTCGAGTCGATGCGTACATTTCCCAACGTCGCCGAAGCGCTGCGTTTCGGCCTTGAAAGCCTCGAAACAAACGCTGAATCGTGACTGCTGCTCGATGATTCCTCAATGTATCCTTGAAAACCACTTGACAAAGATGTCGACGAAAGTTTCGCTGAATGACTGAAGCACTGTGGTTACTCAGACGCAGACGTTCAGCTCTCTTCTCTCTCTTCAAACTTGCAAATCCTCTCCAAGCCAGAATAACCGTTCTCTTCGTAACAATCTTTCGAGCTTGAGCCATCTCTTTAATGCGACGCTCCCAGTACGTATAGCGGACGACCATGTTGAAGCACAAACCTGCTTGTCGATACCTAACGCGACGCAAGATCACCTCCACTCCTTTATCCTGCGTGGCCTTGATCTGCCGTCTCTTTCTCACTATGACTCGACCTCGATGTCCTCGATACACCCGCTGAATAACGACTGCTTTACGATGTCGATCTCGCTGATACTTGAACACTTGACGTGCCACTCGCCCTCTATACTGTCGTTGAATCAAGATAGCCGCCTCAAACTTCCCTGTTTTCATCATGTCAATAAAGCCTACCCATCGCTGGAACCAGTGACCTTCTCGACGCTGAACGATTGCAGCGAAATTATCTCGAAGTCTCTGCTGCTCAATAGTAAAAGCGGCCCAATGGTTGAACGTTCGGTTCATCATTCGCGACTGAACCTTTAGCAGATACTTTTTGGCCATTTTGGTGCGCTTTATACGCGTATTTATGAGCTTGCGAAGCTGTTTTTGCTTTTTTCGTCGGCGGATAATGTGCTGGATAATCCTTGCTGCCCGTTCCATTCGCTTGTGTAGAACCACAAGTAATTTCCACTTCATGAGCTTGAACTTTATGAACAAAAGGTTGGCCTTGCGTCGGTTCTTCTTCCTTGTTACGAAGAATTTCCACTGAGTCATAACATGGACGAGGTCTTTCTTCTTCATTGCTGCAGCACGTTGTGTGGCTTCTTGTACCCGAGCCTTTTTAACCAGTTTCTTTTGCTTTTCTTCAAGTTCACGTTTCTGCTTGTCCTCCTGCTCTTTTCTCGCCTTCAAACGCTGCTGATGACGCTCCATATCCTTTTCACGTACAGCTTCGAGCCGTTTGCGCTCCAGTTCCTGGTTTTTCAGCTTGATCTCCCGTTCTAGGATCTGCGCCGACAGTTTATCTCGTGCCTTTTGCTTTGTTTCTTGAGAACGTTTTCTCGCTCGATAGGCACGTTGGATTCGGATCACCATACGCAGTCTTAGCTCCTCCATTTGCTGTTGCCATGGTACAGCCAATAGCATCGACGCCTTCACTGCAATATCATGTTTCCTCTGCAATCTCCCAATATGCGCTTCAAATCGCCCAAGAACAGAGATAAGCTCTTTTGAAGGCAAATAAACTTCACTGGTACCTCGTACAATTGACTGCTTTGGAAGGGATTTAACGGCGATCACCTCTTTCCAAACGTTATTTACCAGATTTTCACCATCCGTGATCTTTTTCTGAATATGTTGAAGTTCTTGTTCCTGTAGACGAATCTGATTCTGTAGTAGACGAATATGTACTCGAAACTGGTTATCGGTGTTGCTACGTTCCATCTTCATTAACTCGATCTTCTGGTTACGCAGAGATCGCTCTTGTTCGGCGTACATGCCCACGAACTTATCGACTTTTGAGTCCAGTGTGATGGTGTCTCGAAGTCGGATCAGATTCGACAAGGATTCGCCGTCGTCGTTGAATTTAAACTGCGCTAGAATATCTTCAGCAACTTCTCCAAACATTTTAACCAATGTCGTTAGAAAGACTTCTGCCGATACCATCAAGTGGCTTTCATCAGCTTGGAGTCGAACTGCTAACGGCTCACGGACAATATATCGAGCCAGCAAGATGGGAGCGGCAATTCTTGATGCTTCATCGTATCGAAGACGTCGTGAAGACTCAAATACGCGCAACATTACACTTTCACATGCTGCTTTGGAGAGGAAAACCTGCTTTGTTCCGTCTGGAATTAACGGATGATTGCGCAGCTCTATCAAATTTGTTGCGATGTATTTCTTGGAACCACTTGCTCTTGAGGAATGCGCTTGCTTCTCTTTAGCTGCTAGATCCAGATCAAATTCGTCTTGTAAATGACCCCGTACAAATAAAAAGAAGAGCAGAGTGTCCTCGTCGTAGATTTCCCTTAAGAATGAAGCAAATAGAGACACTTGGGGATATTGTTCGCGTGTGAGCTCGATGTTGTACATGAGGTCCATGCACTCTTGGTCGGCTAATTCAGGCAGACCCAACGAGTGGTGAATGAACCTTCGAGCGAAGAACGGCATGGCTAACCAGCCTGGCGTGGTCATACTACGCTGAGAACTGTTCTTTGGTTTCGCTAACATCAGTGAAGACGCAGGTTCCGTGTCACCTCTTCCATTTCCCATGTTCAGTAAGTTGTCTGCGAGAGCGTTGTAGATCACCTCTATCGTTCGAAGGAGCCAATTGATACCGCGTCCTCTGGGTAACACGGGTTTTGCTATGTTGGTTTGCACCACCGCCTCGAAAAATCGTGGATATCGCAACTGCAGCATCCTAGTCGAAACCTTGACTGAAGTAGCAACCGAGGTTTTATCCCGATCCTGCTCATCTTGATTCCGCGTAGCTACCGTTGCTGGAAGAGCCCGTGCTGGGGGCTTTACCATTGGCTTCTTTCCAGCTTGACTATTCGGAACCTCCTCCGTTCGACTCTTCTTAACAAGAGATCTCCCTTCAGATGGCAAAAGCCCACGCTGTCTACAAATGAATAGAATATTTAATGTAAAATTCATCCTAACCAACACTAGATCAATTCGACTTGCATACCGTAGCTGGCAGTTAATGTACTCGATCTTGTCCAGATACGGCAACAACATCTTCTTCTGTTCCAATACTTCGACACTCATCTACAGCTCAGCACCAAGTTATACGTCAAACAATTGCAAGCTCAGACTGAATCTACTCGCGACTTACGTGAGACTGTGCTTGCTCTGCTCGCTTCACCGTCACCTCTGGTTGTGTTCGAACACCGATCTGATTGCGCTGAACCTCTGCTCGAAGTGTATCGTTCTGTTGCGCAGGGTGCAGAACTGAAGCCAGCCACGCCTCGTTGGCCTCATTCTCACGATCGCTGGGGCTCTCTCGGCGCTTCTTCTTCCTCGTTCGCTGCGCAGTAGCCAACGACACCGTATCGTCAAATTCATAAGGGGAGCGCTTTGTCATGGCTCATTCAACTCGAGCATAATGCTTGAAAATAATAATAATAAATAATAACCGACCATTGTACACGATAAAGTAGCTAGGTTTCAACAAATATACGCTGTAATTCTTTTGATAGCAAGACCCGGCACTTTTGACACCTCGTATAATTATCGATATGTTGCGGTACTGATCTACGGTTGTGAGGCACGCCTTAGCGCCTGGTGACTTTACTCTCCGTTTTCACCCTTCGCATGGCAATCTCACGCTGTTCAAGCTCTCGCTGGGCTACCGCCTTCTTGACCAGGGCACGAATCTCTTGGATATCACGCAGACCCCGACTTATTTGCTGCTGCATCTTGCTGACCGACTCACTCATGACCTGAAGGTCCTCGCTGTCGATGGCGATCTCATCTGGCTGTAGTTCCTCATCCGCATCCATCTGGTGCTTCCTGGTGGAGGCACCGGGACAGGGGATCAGAAGGAACTGAGCGTGGGAGATCAAGCTCTTGCCTTGGCGCCGCTCCACCCTACGCCGCTGACACGCCTTGCTCCGACAAGAACAGCGCCGGCATTTTTTGTTATTATGAGTAGCCATAGAAGACCGAAAGCGTTGCTGCTGGTTGGACGTACGGAAGTGTATTCACTTGGCAAAGGGCAGAAACGCTGCCATCCACTTCACGTCGAGCACGAAAAACGGGAACTGAGCCCGTGTTCTGAGCCCGTTCGTTTATCTCAAACAGTAGCGCTGCAATCGGAGCGTCTCCCAGTCAACGAACGCTGGAGAAGGAAATCGACGACTGTCCACAATGGGAGGTAGTGCTTTTCGTCCTTAGAGAGTCGAGGAGTGGCCTTGCCACCCACGACCACAACTTCGGCGGTGTTCGCGAGCGCAAGGAGACGCTAAAGACGACAACCGAATGCACACCTTGGACTCACAAAACATGTGACACGGTGGCCTCGCATCAAATCGTGTGAAGCACTGAAGACCTCCGAATTCGTCATTTTCAAGTTGGTCGTCGTTCAATCAAGCCACAAGAATTAACGCATTCTTCCAAGTGAAATACCCTCCAAATAATATATTCTTCCTAAATGTATACCCACGTACAAAGTCTACATTTAGTAATAATACCAAGAAATTCCGATTGTAAAACTCTTTGATCTTAATACCCCAGTTTTAGTATATATTTTTTCTACTATTCGCAAGGCCCAAAAAAGGGGCATACTGCAGAGGTGCTAAGCATAGTTGTAAATCACTTATGCGAACAGTACTACGTCTTACATGTTTTTTTTAATAGTACTGGAAGTAGAAACTTAACGGCATCTGACAGGTGGCCCGCCTGATACTCTTCAGAACCAGCGGTAAACCTGTTCAAACGAAAATGAGCCTCAATATGTATATGTGCTTTGTGAGACGACTACCCGTATCGGTGCAGGTTTTGATTAATACTACGTAGTATTACGTATAGTCGTTTCAATACACTAAGCTCTATTATTCCGACGCTGGGAATAGTTCCGTAGTTACGATTTACAATTAGCCAAAGTACTTGGCAAAAGACCTACCAGATAGCTTAGTTTCCTAGGAAATGCGTGCGCACTGCAACAGTAATACATGCTCATGTCGTGTAATAATATACTTAGGTGGATATTGCCACCATTAGAATGAGTTTAGTTCTGAATACTTTCCACTGACTTCTGAGTAAACCAATATTTTCACTGACTGTCTGAACCACCACTTGAACGTACCGTTTATGAAAGAACTTAATCCCGAGTAAGAGAGGGTTAACTTTCTATGGTTGACGCACTGTAAAGCTGTCTCTACAAATGTGTTTGGGCTGCTGTCAACCAACCCACACTCTCAGGAGCCGCGACGTCCACTGGCGAAAAACCATGGGTTTTAAGTAGCCGACTTTCAGAGACCCATTCCTTCCATTTTCACTGTAGGGTCAGCTCAGAGCATCGCCAGTGGTTGTCCATCAGTGATGGACCATCATATAATAGGTTATGTGATGGTACATAGCACTCCTCGACAATCAACACTTAGCACTGACAACATTCACTATACCTGCAGTCAGGTAGTCAAGCGTTATACCGAATAAAAAACCTGTGCTTTAAGATACTAGTGCGTCAGACTTTTACTCCGGATTGAATAATATTTTGTTTTATTTAGAAACCAGTGAGAGGTACTCACAATTAAGTGGCACCCGCCGCAATTGGCTCACTGCTGCCTGGAATGATGCTCCATTATCTTTAGCACGCCTATGTGATACTTATACATGCTATTTCTTGAATGGCTATATCAACAAGAGGCTGTTGGCTTAATGCTGGGAGGCCTGACTGGCACTCTTGTCGGCAGGAAGGCCACGAACAACCGCCACTTACAAGTGGTAAGCTATTACTCGTAATACCACATATAATTTGTTTACTTCTACCAAGTAATATACGTGGTCTGTACCGTACTAGGTCACCGACTCGATACTACTACGATCTTTACCATGTTTTTTTATTTCAATCATGCATGCAAACAGACCTGAGTTTAACATGCTCTGAGGACACCAAAATGGAAGGAAGTTTGATGCGCTTGGATGAGGGAGGTTACAGTGCAAGATGAGGTGTACACTACAGAATCTGCAGTCGAAAACGCAGAAAACCTTTTCCTAATGCAACTTTGGGTAAGCTGCTGAGATTGCCATTGCGACTAATAAAACGAAGAAACAAAGAGTTTGTGCAGGACGCGCTGGGTACCTGTGTCTACATTGCCAGCCCTGTCGTCAGGCATTTTCCAGGGGTCCGAAAATGCAATTTTTAGATCTATTCTTTTTTCAGGATGTCGAGAAAATAATGAGGAATTTCCATAACTCAGTAAAAAAAAAACTACTGAGATTTATGAATCGATTTGTGTAGTTATTCCGATATACCAAAAAAAAAAACGAATTACTATTTTCCAATTCAGTAGTTCTAAAAATAGTAGTCACGTCGCGTGTACTTTGAAGTCTTAGGTATGACACTAATAACACGGAAGTTACTTTTAGATACCTGATCTTCAAAGAAAGAGGCCTGACATCAGTTACAGCCATTCTTCACGTGCATTCTACCACTTACATCCTCAGCTGTCCATTGACACTGCATCCAAGTTGCCCAAATGACAAGTGTACGAGTGCGTAAAAACCTTAACCATGGAGCGCTCAGTTCACGCTTGATAGCTCCGACTTGGCTATGGCAACAAACCTAGGATTGTTAAAGACGGACGTTCAGGTCCAAGACACGGACCCATCAAAATCAGACTTTGGTGTTGCCTATTGCCAACGTGAAAACGTAGCCTCAGAGACCCACGGAACCCAGAAGGCCATTCAAGCACGCTGTAAGGAGTTTGCTCAATCCTGCGGGTTCCAACTTGCTGATTCAAGCTACAGCAGCAAGCCGAACCAGGGTGGCAATGCAAAATACGTCTGTAAAAAAACTGAACGGCATGCAGTTTTACGACAACTCTCTTGACCCCAAAGACATAACCTGTCCGTTCTCGATCAACGTCAGTGGGATAAATGGAAACTGGAAATTGACAAGAGTGAACTTTACTCACAACCATGTCAAGCACGTGGGATTTTCCGGGCGTCCCGTTGCCGAGGGATATGTGGCGCGTCCTGCCTCTGATAAGAGAAACAGAACCCAAGATGCGGCAGCTTTGACCCAGCTTGTCGAGGCTGAGATGCTGCCTCGCTACGAGAATAAAACTGAAAGGATGACTGGGGCAGCTATCGCTTCGTTTTTGTTGGGAAAAGGCCATAAAATTGCTCTAAGTGCTATCTCTCGTATCAAGGCAGCCATTGATGAAAGGCTCCGTGGAAATCGGGTTGATAGCTATCAAAAGCTAGAAGGGTGTAATGGCCGATAAGAACCCAGGATCGATTTGGAGATTCGAGAAGGACGACGATGGGACTTCCTAGTGTGCCTGTTTTATCCCAAACATTGGGATCCGCGTTGCAAAAATGGCACGTAGACTTTACGGCTTTGATGGCACTCACTTGAAGGGGGGATGAACAGCTATGGGGTTTTTCTGGTGGCTACTACCAAGGATTATAACCAATTCATAACACCTTTTGGATTTTCGCTGGTACCAGTTGGAAATAAAGACAACTGGATTTGGTTCCTCCAAGTAGTTAAGAAAGCTTTGGGTGATGACTTGGAATTCACAGCCCTTTCGGACCGGTATAAGGGCCTGCGCGCTGCTGTAGAGTTTGTTTTTCCAAAAGCGGGTCACCGATTTTGTCTTCGTCATATTAAGGGGAACATCGGACAGGCTCGCACGCAAAAGGAGAGAGTTATTATCTCTAAAATGGCGAAGAGTGATTGCGATAACGACTACAAGTTGTTTGCTTCTGAACTCAGAGTCACAAAACCTAGCGCCACAGACTACGTGGAGAACATCGATAAAAAACATTGGGTGAAATACGTATACTTGGACCACTTTCATCTACCAACTTACGGTGAAACTACGTCGAACCTTGCTGAGCAAGCAAACAATAAAAAAATATTGGATAGGCAACGAATGCAGGAGTACCAAGACTCTCGACTCGTTCGGGCTTTTTTTCCGCAAGTTGAATGATTTGGTTTCGGATAAGAGACAAAAAGCAGCTACCTGGCTAAGCAAGGGCACAGAAACGGATCTAGTCCCAAAGTTAAGCTGCAAACTCTCCGAACTCTTGAAAGAGGTCTCAAAATGCGAGGTTAAACCGTGCTTGACTGGATCTTACAACGTCCTGTATATTGGCCCTACCGCCGAAGAACATTCTTTTATGGCGGCAGCGCAAGCGTGCACTCAGGGAAACGCCTAGTCTTGCCAGTTTCCACAGGTACACTTTAAGGCCGGTTAATCCACTAGCCGCCAGGGGTGGGCATATCCACAATCGCTGGATACTCTGTACAACAGTGAGCGAATGTCAATTGGTCACTTTAAAGAAACTTACCACTACCCTTTCAAGCCATGGCCGACGGATGGTATCTTAAAGAAAGACACGACATTGATTGTACCGCCGCTTCAAGCGACTTCGCGCGAGGGCGGAAAGCGAGGCTTGGAACCTGGCCCTCCAGCTAAACACATGAGGAAAAAGTCAAAAGGAGGTGACTAGTTGGGTGCAGAGGGTAAATAACTATATCTACCTACATATTGAATATACTTTCGTTTTAGCTCCTTTTGTTAATTTTCTTATTGTTAAAAATGCACTGGCACCTTGTACAACGGTTGCATTTTATAAACCAGCAAAGATGTTTTTTTTTTTTAATTACAGTACAATGCACAAAAGAGGATTTATTATTCCGTCATTTTTTAACCCACTTTTCTATTTAGTAGTGGGTTTTATAATGAACCGTAACAGCCACGAGCAGTAAATGCGCGCTTTGGGCTCTTTCATGAAAAGATGGACATGTAAATCAACATTAAGCGACACATATTGACCTGTAAAAGATGTATTTAACTGTTCCTTCATTGAAGGATTCTGACCAGAATTCGACACGCCTGTGGATATGTATTAATAGTATTATACGCACAATCACATGATACTGCAAATAATACTATTTTCTGCCCACTTTAACGCAAGTCTATAAATTGAGTCCACTCCAATTGCGCCAGGCTCTTCGCAGTCGCCAAATTGTCGTTAAACGGCACCCATCTCGCTGCTCGCTTGGGACCCTCGTCTGCGGATTCGCCCATTGATTCGTCTTCGTCTTTATTGTCGTCGAACTCCCAAAGACCAACTTTATCAAGCTCCCTCTTAATGGAGTATACCTTGCTCGACTGTCTACTTGCCTCCTTTCGCTTAGCTTTTGTAGTGCAACAGCTTTTGGACCACATCCTCGTTTGCGCAAGAGATGGTTTTTTCAGCTCGTATGAGAGCTGAATGTCGTCTTGCATCTGTAGCAAGTCTTAAGTTTACGTTGGTTTGGGCGGCCAGCTTTCGGTTATGATGGAGTGCGGAGGACGGGCGCCATGGTCGAGAGAAAAAATGAATATGAAAGAAGCAAGGGCAGACAATGAGGGTTGCCACACCATGTCCAGTAGTTTGCAAAACAGTAAATTTATCATTAGTACTATTACGAACACTGCTGGATAACAATAGTAACGCGTGTAAAAGTACTGATCAGTACTTTCGCATTTCTCATCACGATTCATAAATCTCAGTAGTTTTTTCTGAGTTATGGAAATTCCTCGAAAATAATGCATGTGAGCGATGGGCTGTAATAGGTATCACTGTGTTTTAGAGTATGATTTAGGATAGGATATGTTACTTCACAAACTTTAGTATAAACGCAGAGTAGGGCAGTCTATGGGATCAACTGCCCGAACTGCGCGGGGAGGCAACCTCATTACTTCTCGTTTTGGTCGCCCCTGCAAAGAGCATCTTCCCCTCATCTGCATCGCAACTGATAAATGGACACTCAGTTGTCTTGGCGAACTGGCACTCTAGCATCGTAAACAATTACATTCGATAGCAGTACTGCTCGTTAACCCACCTCGAACTAGACTGACCACCGTGCCACAGAACACTTTTTCAATGAGCGTATAGTACATTTTTTGTGAACCGGTAGGGTCCTCTTTTTCTGGTCGAGCACAAACCCTCTCAGAGCATTATAAAGCTGCATCGCTGTCAACTTCTCGCACAGTGTCGAGAGAATAAGTTGTTAGCTCACTCCTCTCATGCGTCTTCTTATGCTCCTGCTACATGTTTGTGCGCAGAGCAGCTCGTTTATCATGGTTGCGATCTGGTGCTGCTCACCAAAAGGGACCTTTTTCGGTGGCGTTTCGCTCATGATCATGCCGTGTGAACTGCTACGCTATATGAGTTAAATAGCGTATCGGCACTGGCATCGGGAAGTCGGAGTAGATATAGCTGTCTACATTCCCTGAAGATACATCGGATTTACCTCATCGTTGCCAGTGGCAACTTGTCACTCATAAAGTCTGTTTTAGAGAGAGGGACCATGCCACAACAGCGTCACCTAGCTCACAGAGACTAGATAAGCCACGTCTCCACTGAATAGCGCAGCTAATCTGACCAGTGATGGCCAAAACTGTACGGGAGAGCATTCCGAAAAAAATTAAACTAGCAGTATGTATTGAATTATCAAGTCACCTAGCAGTATGGATCGCAATGCCGAAGATGCTTGCAGTATGTATTGCAGTACTTGGTAAATTACGACTCCGTTGTAGAACGTGCTTTCATGGCCTGCGATACCATGTCAGCATTCCAAAGGTGCCTGTTATGCATAACAAGCAAATTTCGAAGTTAACTGGCGTCAAACGTTTTCTTGTCGACCGCAACACGTGCTTTGCGCTGCTGAATAGCCGTTCCGCAGACACAGAGGTGCCGGAGATGAAACGTTGATCTACATAGTCCTCGCTTGTCGTGAGCCGCTGGCGCTTTCGGTCACGTAAGAGACTGGCGTAACTGCGTTTGCTTCCTGTAGACCCTTCCAAGGCAGATTCTTGAGGCTCTGGCTGGCGTAAGAAATGGCTTACGCCTTTTCGCCATCCGTAAGCAATTCTTGTTTGCCACTGATAATTTTGACGCAAGCTTTCTCAAAAAGAGGATTGTGCGAAATTTCTGCATCAGCAGCCAGGTAGTCACTCAACTCAGGATAGTCCTCCACCATCATCTGGAAGATTTCATGAACAACATCAATGTGCTGGCCTTGTTTCTGTAGATCCGTCATAATACTTTTGAAGTTCTCGAGGGTCGGCAGGGCTTCTTTGGTCCGATCCGAGTCTGCACTTCGAATGGGGTCAATGTCGTCGAGCTCCTGAGCTGAGCTTTCGATACTCACAAAGGGCTCCAGCATTTTGTAAGTAGAGGACCATCTAGTAACGTTGCGTTTGAGTGTGCAATGGGGTGTAAGCAGGCGAAGTGCTCCAGCCGCCTTCAAATTCCGTAATTGAGAAACCGCCTTGTCGACCCGTTCAATAGTCTTCTCCATAACCGGTCGACGAACAAGAAAGGCCTTTACGGCCAAGTTCAACTTGTGGCAGCCACAGCCGATCCGTGGAGCGCCCACCTTTTCTGCAAGCGATTTATTAGTCGCACAATTGCCACCGATGATGACCGAGAGTGACGTTATGGATTTGCCGTAGACAGACAGGACGAACTTCAGCAATTCGTAGTGCTCCTCCGCCGTGTAGTGCTTCTCGTTTGACGGGGGTGAACACCCAAGCAGGACCTCCCTGTACGTGTCGTTCTCCATATACGTAGCAATTACGCAAACGTAGTGCGTGGAAACGTCGGTCCATCCGTCCATCATAATGCCAAAGACATCTGGGAGGGTCTTCCGAATTGAAGCCTCAACAAGGGGGACAAGCCGAGTAATGTAGGCGGCAAGGCTGGTGCTGGAAATTGAGCCATGACCAGCTAAAGAGCGTTTTAGGGGGTTATCCACCTCGGACAGCGGCATGTTGCGCATAACGACCCATTCTAGCCACCGAAAAACGCTAAACTCCTTGTCTGTGATGTACTTTTCTCTTGTAAAGCCGAGCGGGTTGACCTGGGCTTTCTTTGATGTCGTAAACTTCTCCATATAGTCAGAGCCCACACAACTGACGAGGTGCTTCCGCAAGTTAGAGTAGCCAGTCTTCCACATCTGTCTCGGTTTGGACGGACACTTGCGGCACTGATACGTGATGTTCTTGTCGACGACCTCCACGTCGAAGAAGAAGAGCACCTCCTCCGGAATTGAGCTAGTCGAGAAGGAAGCCTTGTTAAGAGCCATGGCGGAGACGAAGACGGGCTGGAGGAAGTGGTGCAAATAGCAGAATGGTTCGAAAAGTCTGAATTTGAGTTAGCCAAGTGTGTATCGACAACTGAACACCACCCATTCTGCAGCGCGGACGAGACACCGGTTAAACATTAAGACCATCAACCAGTTAGGTGTTGGGCTCCAATACAGATTGCAGTCTCTAATCGCCCTGCAATATGTATTGCAATTCCCAAACCCTTGCAGTACGGCATTCCGACTAGTATTGCGGTAATTCCAATACTTGCAATACATTTTTGGCCATCACTGAATCTGATCAACGAGATCGTTAGCGATGTACTGCAAACGATAAATAATGACCCTTGCGGCCTCACCAACACACTTACGCCTACATACTAGTACTACAGAGCTAAAATTGCTCTTAGCAAAACCTCATCCCATTCTCTGTCGAGTAGCGCCGGTTTCATCCGCTGTTGCCGTGTGCCATGCGGTGTGTCTGGTTGTGGCTGAATGCAACTGAGTAAAAAAAAACCATCACTAGATTTTGTAAGTGTTTCGTTGATTTGTGCAGCGGCATTATCAACGCTCTATGCAACTGGATCCTGTCTACGATGAGCTCGTATATCAAGATATGCTGTCGTACTTAAAAGCATGTGATTCCACCAAACTGGTAGACTTTGTTTTTATAGTCCCGTGATAGCTTGAAATTTGATACAATGTGGTGATAGACAAAACCCAGTCAAATGTGGTCAAAATCAAAGGTTTTACCTGCTTGTAGTAAGATTTCGTGGTAGGTATCGACATAAAATCAAATGCTTGTCCATCCTAAGCTGATTTCATTGGAAATCAGCATCTGAAAGGGTCCCAACACTAATCTTGGAAAGACTGGTGTATCTTCAGATATTTCTATTTATGTCCAAATTTGAAATATTTTACTCGGATCTCACTAAATTTAAGAAATGTGCACCACACCAACCGCCTTATACTTGATCAAAAGTTGCTCCACGGCCTGTACTAGCTAAGGGAGGTTAATTTGTAACCCGTTGCTGCTATGTGCGGTGCGTGGAGGTGTGGAGTAGACCTCCTTCGCACCAGGTGGTATTATTTTAATTGTTGGACTAATGCAGCGGGGCTGCCGTAGCTTAGCGTCAGAGGAAGACGGTTAACTCAAAGAGTAAAGTGGGTTAACTCAACACCCTAATAAAGGTTAATAGGTCCTTAATATCCGAAGGCCCCTACTAACGATAACCTTAATAAAAGGGGACGTTACTCTTTAGCGTTCTTAATCTCAACTGTTTATTTTTCTTTATTGCGGAAATCCGCCTATGTGTTAAATGTATGTGGTTAACTATCTAACATAGTAAAACCCAATCAAATGCATATCCTGTGGCTCTCAGCCTATGTACTGAGGCCACTGTTAACTCTACGAGTCATGTACTGAGGGTATGTTAACCCTTCGGGTACTCTGTACCCATGTGTGGAATACACCAGGTGTAAACCCGTGTAACCCCGTTACAACTAAAGCTTGCAAATTAACAGGAGAAAAAAACTTCCGCTCAAATGTGCCGCAACCATCTTCTTTTTGTAAATAAAAGATATTGAAATACTGTTCTGCACTCTTTCGCTTGATCTCATTTGTTACCTCTTGATCTTAGCAGTTAGCTCTTGCTGCCATTTCGCCGCAATTTTTTCCGTTGCAGGCACGTTTATCGCTTTCTCGAGCATCGCAGACAAGTCTTTCACTGTGTAGAATTTCAGGACAGTGCTTATCATCGGAGGTACCTTTTCAGGATTTTGCGAGCTAATCTTGGCTCTGAAGCTCTCCCACATCTTCAAGTTTGGGTTAGTCAGAAGGTTATCCAGTCCTTTATTCAGTTCCAGCATCTTGAAAACTTCGTTGGACGATTTCTTGTCTCCCACCCACTGATTCATCATTTTGTTCTCCAACTTCATAGGAAGTTTTTCGAAAAGATCCATCCTTTGCTGTCCAAGTATGACAATCTTCGAAAGACCGGCGTAACCATACGTCCCCACCAATACGTCCAGCATAACATCATCAGGCGGCCGATCATAGCTTTGTCTGATGTGGGCATACAAAGTATTCAGCTGCGGAGTCGCGAAGAGGTCATATCCCGCCTCGTCAAGCTTTAAAATCTTGAAAACGTCCTCTGCGGACTCTTCGCTGTTATACCACTTGCTCAAAAGATCCATGCGCAGTCCTGACGAGACTTTTTCCATGGCTGGGATTTTCATCCCCAGTTCAACCATGTTAGCCACGCCGTCTTCACCGTACGTCTTACTAAGCATCTCAAACATGGAAACTCTCTTAGCAGAGTCATGCTTGTTGAGTTCATCCAGGTACACTGCGAAAAGATAAATCTTTGAGTTAGTGACTTCCTTGTTCGCCGGCGGCGTCGTGAAAATCTTATATGCCGTCGTGTCCAGCTCTAGCTTCGAAAATATCTCGTCTGCAGTTTTCTTCGAAGTGACCCAACTACTCGCAAGTTCTCTTCGAAGTCTCGACGTAAATTTCATAATAGTTGCGTCATTTGTTCCCATTCCAAGTAGCTTGATCACAGCTTCTTCCCCGTACGTTTTTGTGAACATATCGAGCATTGATACCTTCTTCGTGGGGTTTTGTTTATTGAATCGGTCGATGTAGGCAGCGTAAAGATGGAGTTTCGGATTGGTGAGAACCTCGTCTAGTCCGCTGTTAAGCCCCAGTTTACTAAATACGTATTCCGAGTTCTTCTGCTTGAACACCCACTTTTGAACCCTGAATTTCTCGGCCAGATTGAGCTTCTTCGCCGCTGCTACTTTCGGTGAAAACAGCCACTCAACGAACTTTGAAGGCGTGGGAGCGTTGATGCTGATTGCGCGCAGTTCGTCGTCTTGCGTTCTGTCAGTTCGTAGCATTCTCGTAGGAGGAGTATCACGGAAGCTAACACATAGAGAATGTGCCCGGAAGCCGGGAGAGATTATGTTTGCTGCCGCAGCCGTCGATGCAGCATGACTCATGCTATGAGTGCTTGCAAACAAGATCACGGTGGCCAGGAAATTCACAGAGAGTCGCATGTTCGCGGGTTGGACAGCAAATTGTGGAGTTGCGACTCTCCTGGGAGATATTAGTCTTTTTTTAGTCCACAATTTCCACAATCCCATCATTTTTATCGAAGTACAGTTCAGATTCATGGGATCTGGTTATCATGGACCATGCATGTCACCATGCGCCACAATTCTTGGTTGCATGGTTCGTTGTGGTGATTGGATGCCAGTTATTATCTTTACCTATATTATAGTCACTAAAGTGTTGCTAAAGTTTAGTGATTGTTCGTTTACCCATGTTAGGGCTTTTCAGTCTAAGCATGAGCAAATACAAGATTGCTAATATCTGAGTCTAAAATACAGGTCGGAAATCTCAGAATTCAAGTCTGAATAGGAAACAAGATAAGAAAAACGGAATATTTCAATACAAATTCTATCATAGGACAAAAAGTTGTAGAGTGTGCCCCAAAAGTGAGCTCGTATAAGTAGACACAAGTGTTTTTAAAACTGGTAAATTACCCACCTAGACAATCGGACTTACTTATGTCACTTCTCTTAGCATTTTTTAGGAGCTACTTAAGTAAGTCCGATTGTTTTCGTGGCTACTTAACCTGTTTCCAACACTTTACTTATACGAGTTCACATTGACCAAAAGCTGCTGTAACGGATTTCACCGACTATAATAATAGTGCCCGGGTTTCTAATATTTGAGCCGCTGGTAAGTCATCAATTCTAAAAGGGGGTGCTTCTAGTTCGTGAATGATGTTTTTAAACTCCTCCAAAATTAAGCTGCAAACTATTTTAATAGTTTCCAGCTCAAATTTGGTTATCGGCTCATTCACTTACTGTTAATGCTTGATAACAGGTCAAGGACACCACTTGGACCTTTCCAGCATCCAAATTAACCTAACTAGGGCATCGCGAAGGCTGAGATAGGATGCGAAAAAAATATAACGAGGCTGCTGGCATTAGGCTGGAAGCCTGAAACTCTTGTTCGCAGGAAGGCCACGAACAACCACCACTTACCAGTGGTAACTTACGACATACACGTTCTATACTTCTGCTAAGTATTTTATATTATCTTCACCGAACGAGGAGACCGGCACGATACTGGAATTCTTTCGCATGGCTTTCTTTCAAATGCAACGCTAAAAGAGCTAAATCGAACAAGCTGTGAGAACACCAAATGGAAGGAGATTTTATGCGCGCGCGTGTGGTAATGGTGCTAAGTGAGGTGTACACAGGCATCGAAAATGCAGAGCACCATATCCTATTGTTAATTTGGGTAAGCTGCTGAGATTGTCATTGTGAACGAATGTTCGACAACTAAAACGAAGAATCAAAATGCACACATATGACGCACTAGGCACCTATCTACACGACCAACTCTGTCGTCGCGACTTTTCCAGGGATGTCATGAGCTCCCTTCACTATGCGTCTGCAAGGCGAGCGTAGTAAATCTCTTTAATCCTGGGAGGCCAGCTAAAAGCTGGGTGGACAGCCTCACCAACACTAATTGGGCCAGGCGCAATTCCTCTAACAACCTTCCGAAATCATTATATTTTTCAATTTGAGATTGCGATAATTGATGCGAAATGCTTTTTATTTTACGATATTGAAATTTAGACACTGGAAAAGTATAAACTCTTACCACCTGCAGAGAAATCGACAATTCTGTAATGTGTATATAATCTTGTATCGAGCACTTCGTAAATCAGAGAATTGAGGATGCATTGTTGATGACGGCATTGCAACTGATTGCACAAATGTATCTGCTATCGGGACTGCAATCGGTTGGGTGTGTGAAGTATTAACAGGACTGGAGTGACAAGATGAACGATATAAACTATCGGCTCTGTAAAAGTTGCAAGCCTTGTAAAATACGCACGAGTTGTCAGATATTAACGTAAAACTACCTGAGTGGACAGATTAAGGGAGTTTGCTGCGGACGATCAGCTTGTACAAGCTGACAAGCTTCTAGACGTAGCGTGGATGCTATTAAAAATGTCGTCGAGGCTACTCAGATTGACGATAGTGCAGCGTGCACTTCGCGGATGCGCCTCGCAGACGCACATAGCGAAGGAAGTCTGTGAAGGGATCTAGAAAAATAATACTTAGCGAGTCGCTAAAGCAATCGAAGAAGTCAATTATGGGTCGGCGGTCGAAGAGACGGATTTGACCATGGCCAAAACAATCGGATTGATATGGCATGACATCGCTGTTCAAGCAACTGACCCAAGCGAGGACGACGTTGGCGTAGCTTATTACCGGTGTGAAAATGTAGCGAGAGAGATGAATGGATCCCAGAAGGCGATACAAGATCGATGTAAGGACTTGGCGCAACCGTCCAGATTTAGCGGGTCGCTCACAAGATTCAGCACCAAGGTCTTCAACGGGGAACCGCGAATTTCGTCAGAAATATATATATATAAAAACGACCAACATGTTGGTCTTTACAAGGCTACCCCCTCCGACCACCCGTTTTCTATCAATGTAAATAGACCTGATAGAACCCCCTCGAAGGTCACGTTTCACACAACCACACCTAGCGATCGAGCTTTAATGAGCGGTTAAAATCAACGGCTGCACCTACCGGTAACAGGAATCAGTGATATGTATCGACATGAAATCACGTGTTTGTCCATTCTAAGCCAATTTCGTCGGAAATCAGCTTCTGAAAGGGTCACAACATAGGCCTTGGAAAGTCTGGTGTGTCAGATATTTCCATAAATGTCTAGATTTGGAATATTTCAATCGAATCCCACTAAATTTCAGGAGTGTGAACCACACCAACCGCCTTAACTTGATCAACTTGCTATACTTCATCAAAAGTTGTTCCACGGGCTGTATTAGCTAAGGAAGGTTCATGTGTATGTAAAACTGCCAGGAAGATACCATGGTACCGGTTTTTAAAACAGTATTCCAGCATCCATCATGAGTTTGTTCTAATTTGATTCGCTGTTGAACCGGCACGTGGATCGACATCCACGTTTCATTCGCCGATTTGAACCGATTAATACCGATACGCCTTTTGTCACACCAGTCATCACTTCAAGCGAGAAGCTTTTGATGAATCACACAACGTCTTCTACCACGCTTTCCTCTCCGTTCAGGCACCATGAGATTTTCCTTCATGGAGCTGCCCGTTAACCAGCGCGCGGTCGTCGTCTCCATCCTAATCCTGTTGTTCGGGCTGCTCTTTGGCCTCTCGCTGGATGCCAATGCACACATCCCCAAGCCTTGGAACCGCATTTCCAGCATCATCGGATGGATCTACTTCTTCTGCTGGAGTGTAAGCTTCTACCCGCAAGTGTTCCTCAACCGGCAGCGCCGCAGCGTCGTGGGGTTATCTCTGGACTACACAGTGCTCAATATGCTGGGCTTTACGTGTTACTCTATCTTCAACGTGGCCTTCTACTACAGCGAGAGCGTGCAGCAGCAGTATATGCGGCGTCACGACGGCCACCGCAACGCCGTGGAGCTCAACGACGTCTTCTTCTCGCTGCATGCGGCCCTACTGGTGGCTGTATCGCTCTTCCAATGCGCTATATATCCGCGCGGCGGACAGGTGGTCAGCAAGCCCACGATCTTATGGACCGGCGGGACTATCGTCGCCGCTGCTATCTTCGGTCTTGCGGTCCTGTTCACTGGCAATAACGAGGACTCGTTCATCAATACGTTGAACTTATTGTATCTGCTGAGCTATGTGAAGCTCATGACGACGCTGGTCAAGTGTCTCCCGCAGATTGCGTTGAATTATCAGCGCAAGTCGACGGTCGGGTGGACTATTTGGAACGTGCTACTGGACATTGCAGGAGGATTGTTGTCGATTGGACAGCAGGTGCTGGATGCCGCGGCGACGAATGACTGGACGGCCATGACGGGGGATCCAGTCAAGTTCTCGCTGGGCTTTGTGAGCATTATTGTGGACGTGGTGTTCATCTTGCAGCACTACGTGTTGTACGCCGAAAACAATTACTTTATGGAGCATGGAGGAGAAACGAAGCCGTTCTTGCCCAAGTAAGACGAAGAAAAAAAAAGGCAAAACAACACTTACACAAGAAGGAATGGGTAATTTTTCTACATTACACAAGTTTTTTTTTATCTGGTCAGGAGCATATTTTTTATCGTCTGAATAGTTTGTGTGAAATGATATTTGAACAAAGTCTAGCCCAACATCATGACAAACAACGTGAAAACTGGCACAGCCACCGCCCCAGCGCTGTCAGATGAGCTTTGGCTAGTGAGAGACGCGTTGTCCGACCCAACATCGTCTCCAGTAGAGCTGATGCTACATTCAGTTGAAACGGGATCGAGGATATCCGTTTGTAGGGAGAGACCCAAGTCAGGAATCGCGCAGTCGCCAAAACCCATTGCCTCAACGTCCTCCCATAGTGCCATGCACGCTGTGCTGCCGCATATTTCCTTAATCTGATCTTCAGTGAGTGCCGAAAGGATATCAAAACCAACGTCATTCGTGCATCCAGCCAGGTTCGCGTTGCTCGATATTGTCTGAAACTGAGCGTCACTGCACTCTGTCGCACTCGTAGTACTGGTGGAGACCGCGTTGAGAAGCAAAATCACCCATAACGGAGCCATCATGTTTGCAGGACGTACACTTGACTGCTTGAGGCCTTGGAGAGAAGTCAAATACTGAAAAACCTTAGTGGCAAAATGATGAGAATCATGTTCTTTTGATTATCCACGAGAATGGAAAGTGTTGCTGGTGTAAACGACTCAAACATGTGCCAGCACTTGTCCAACTCAAGGTGCTATAATTTCGGCTGTCGAAACAGGATTCCAAGGATGTTGCCGCTTTGTGAGACGCTTCGTCTCCGACGAACAACGCTGCAGCTTAAACTTGAACTGTACAATTGCATTTTTTACTCATGAACTACTACAAAAGATGATACATTCGCTTACTACAGCACGTTTGTACTAGACGAAGACGACGGATAGAACCACAGCGACGACGTATCCGGCGACAAAGACGCTGATTCTAGAGCTCGAGCTGGTGGAAGAAGCTTCGTCTGCTTCAACTTCGGCGTCAGTTGAGCTGTCAGTAGAGTTGCTTGATGATCCGCTGCTGCCACAAGCTTCCGTGACGGGGTCGATGATGTCCTTTTGCATGGAAGTCCCCGTGCTGGGAATTGAGCAGTCTCCAAGTCCCATTGTGCGCACATCTTCGTACAGCTTCATGCATGGAGCGCTCGCACAGAACATCTTCACTTGGTCACTGGATAGCGCAGCCAAACTGAGAATCTCCGAAAAGTCCATGGCTTTCGCGCATGGGGCCACATATGAGTTGCTCGCCACAGAATTAAGTTGCTCCACCGTGCAGTCTTCTCCGTTAACCGAGCCGAGGGTGACGAGAATGGATAACCACAACACGAAAAACAGCATATCGGCTGAGGTCTTGGAGTTAGGAACCAGGTTGGCTGCGTTGTTGGAGGCAAACTTCAGAATGACAAGCGTGAACGATGTGGTGACAAGCTCGCCCTTCCATTGGATTCGCAGATAAGCTCACCCCAACATACGATCGATTAGATAGCCTCTCTACCTCTAACTCCACGCCTGCGCCATATTTGCAACTGATACAGTCCCTCTACGATGACCTTCCTGTCCGTTTTTGTCCTTATCGGCGCCATAGGCTTTGACAGACGGTAGTTTGAAACTACACCGTGTCAAAGATTTTTAATCGACTTTCTTACAGAAAGGTGACATTTATATGTTTCAGATTTGGTGGATCAATTCTGGTTCATCTCTCATTAGTGCGGGTCGTCGCTCTAAAATGAGATGAACGAGCTGAGGATACCCGCTAAAATACGCCATCGACAATGCTGTCCAACCACAAAAGTCCCTCAAATCAACGTTCGCTTCAGCGTCCAAGAGGATGCGAAGCGATTCCTGGTGGTTGAACATCGAAGCCATTAGCAGAGCTGTGGCGCCCGTGATAGACTGTCGGTTGAGGTCAGCACCATGGTTTACCAGTAGTTGAACAATGCCATGGTACCCCTTCTTGGCTGCAATGAAGAGTGGTGTTTCGCCGTCTTCGCTAGGGTCGTTCAGTGACGCTTTACTGCAGATCAGAGTTCGTACCACCTCGATGTTTCCCAGCTCAGTAGCAGCGCGCAATGCTGTTATATGTCTTGGTCCTTTGAAATTAATGTCGGCGTTGTGTTTCAAGAGGAGACGAGTGATGTCGTCACGTCCGTTTAACACAGCAATTATTAGCGGAGTCCATCCGTCGTTGTCCAACAAATCCACCGATGCTCCAGCTTCTAAAAGCTTTTCCACCGTATTTACCATTCCGTTTTCGCATGCAATTCCTAGCGCTGTGTTGCCACAGCAGAGTTGAATATCAAGGTAAGCCTTGTACTCCACAAGGAGACGCACTACCTCGGTATGCCCTCTTACTGCAGCGATTGTTAGCGGGGCATAGCTGTCATCTGCTAGAATGTTTGGATTGGCGCCTGCTTCCAGTAACAGTCGAGCGACGGCTACGTGTCCGCCTGCTGCAGCCATTCTCAAGGCCGGTGAACCACGCGGTGTTGTTGCGTTGACGTCAGCTCCATCTTTTAGTAGCATTCGAGCAATGTCGACGTTGCCAATATCGGCTGCGATGATTAAAGGAGTCCATCCATCAGCGTTTCTTGACTCCACGTTTGCACCGGCTTGAAGTGCTCGCTCAACTTCAGCAACATCTCCGTTTACACAGGCGTCCAACAAGTTTGTTCTCTCGCTTGCCTTGGTCTTTCTGGTAGCCACACACGTCCACCTCGACAGCGTTGTCAATACACACGTTCCCACGGCACCAATGATCCGAATTAAACACATTGTAAATCAAGCTAATGTGGATGTGGACAAACCACTACGAGTTGCCATGCTCTCTCAGTTTCATACTACGTAGTATCAAGGTTATTTCAGCGTACTATTGGGATAAGCTGGATGACTAAAATGGACTATAAACTCTGAAAATTGGAAGCGCAACTTGAACATGGGTTAAGTGGGTGTGGTTGGATGAGAAACCATGAATTATCAAATAACCCGCGATGAAACCGGTTGTGAACCCAATGCGTGCTCTGGTGTGTACCCGAAGCCATCGGATGTACTGGCCACTTCAGTGAATACTCTTACTAAGGTTCAAGCATGGAGATGTATTCCTCCTCCGATGTTTCACAACTCACTTAAACGTCTATCGGACATTGGGTAAAGCTATGAATTTGCATCACCCACAGGACCTCTTCTGAAATGAGTGAACCCATGTATGGTGATGTGGACTTGCAGTCTACAGGGACTACATGTATAACGTAGGCCAAGCCATTCTCTTTTCGCACCAAGAAGTTTGTTTTTGGTAAGATCGACCAGCTCATTATCCTTTTGGACGCCTCCTGCATCGACCAATTTGACTTGTCAACTAGTTTTCCATCATGGCGCTGATCATCACGAGTGCTGCACGAGTCAATGGCTATACCGGCGTGGCATCAAGTGGAGCTAATCGTTGGCCGACTCAACCAGACTACAATAGATATTCGATCTATCGTACCTTTCAGAGCGAGCTGTACAACAAAATAAGCGTTCAAAGGAACACGATGCCTCCGATATACCCAGTGACCCAAGGAGACGATCACACACTGCGTGGCCTACGTGAATCCGTTGTCGTCGACGATGGACTTGATGAAATCTCGTTTCCAATTGCCAATATCGACACCTGCGACTGCGTCACCTTCCCCCCTGATGGCTTTACCCTGGCCCCGTGCAGCGGCGACGCGTACTGGGGAGTCTTCCAAGTAAAATTCACTGATGGAAGTTGCTACGACGTCGCGTTTGACGAAACCAGAGTGTACGCGAATTGCCCCAGTGGTGCAACGGATGAATGGGAAAACGATGCCATTCTGTGCGAAGTCGACTTTACCGAGGGAACGGACACACCCGAAGATCTACCAACGTTGAACGAGATCACGACGCCGTTCCGTCAACAAGATACTGCTGGGGGAGCCAAAAAGACTAGAATTCACTTGAGCGTCCACCGTTTGCTGGCCCTTGCAGTTGAAGCGATGTTTGCGCTCCAGGGTCCTTGGAACTGAGCAGCCGACGTGACGTCAACACGCTGACAACTCAACATGTACACGACAAAAATGTTTTCAACCTCCACTTCATATCTCAAAAAAAAAAAAAAAATGGGTTTGGGCTGAACACAGCGTTACATATGAACTTTTTAAAATACAAAATCGGAATGGCATCGTTGTATCAACAACTCACTTTTTTGGGGTGGTGGTTATCTAGATTCAAGAACAATTATCACAGTCAACAGCAGAGAGTCTCCTGATAATCAAAGGATGTCAGTTTGCAAATCCAGCAGCCACAGATTTAAATTCTTATCAAAACCAACCTTCTTGAGTCATGAAGCGTGGTTTTGATAAGAATTTATTTCGGTGTCATGAATCATGACAGTATACCCTTCATTCTGTATTGGCAAAACCAACTAGATGCAGTGAACGAAAACAAGGAGAAGTTTTAAAATCGACGACCATGCAATTCAAAAACCGGCTTCTATGACTTTTCTACCAGTGTTGATGGGCGTTTGCTCGCGGATTTTCATGTAAATAATGCTTCTTTATTTTTACATTGACGGGGTGACTTACGCTACAGAAGTTCATAGTGAGTGTTTGGCCGGTTTGCTATACTAGCAACACTGCCAGAGCCAACGTTGTTATTGAGATGTATCCCATGACGACCGTCGTGGCACTACTGGTTCTTGAACTGCTGTCTCTGAGGTTGTCGGTGGTGACTGTGTCGTCGTTGCTTGATGACGAGTCAATTGCACTACATCTCTCTGTGAACGCGTCGATGATGTCTGTTTGGAGATAAATCTTCGTCTCTGGAAGTCTGCAGTTACCGAGACCCAATGCAGTCATGTCCTTCATGAGTGACGTGCAAGCGGAACTCGCACAAATGACTTGAATCTGCTCGGTGGTGAGCTCCAAAATCGTCGAAATGCTGCTGAATCCTGCATCATTTGAGCATCCAGCAACGTGAGGATTACTCGCGATTCCGACGAGATCCGCGGTAGCACATGCGTCGTCCGCGCTGGCACCATCGATGAGTGTCATGCTGACCGCGACAAATGCCAAAAACGACGGTACCATCTTGCGTTACTTTTTGATCCGAGGTGGAGTTTGCGCTTCTCAAGGCAAATTGCACTTTGTTTGTGGTCAACGGCAGGTTTGGGGACAGACTTTCCGCGTGCGAACTGACAAGTTAACGCGATCTGGAAATCCAGGACCGGGATAAGATACCTCTATACCAGGTAGGCAGTTGTATATTGGCTCGCTTGATTACTCGTAAGAGGTCGACAAACTCGTGAAGCTATGATGGCGCCTCCAATGTGTATTTCTGATAATAAGATTTGGATCAGATTGTCGATGCCAACTGCATTCCAACAGCCGTAAAAATCAACATCGAAACTTTTGCTGAAAGCGGTGGATAGAAGTTTTTTTTAGTATGTTCTATGAAACCCCATAACAGCAAAATGCTACGAGTTCATCTATTTATCATTAACTACAACAAAATGAATATCAGTGATATCGAAGCACTCCAAATGACAGGCACCATTGAAATACGAGCTGCGGAGCTTGAGGCACTTGCAGAACCGCCGGCGACTTCTCCACCGCCACTACTAGAGGATAAATCTACAGACCCACTGCCACTGCACGCTCGTTCGAAAGGGTCCAGAATGTCTTTTCCCAGTGAGATATTCGTGCCTTGAATGATGCAGTCGCCAAAACCCATCGATCTCATGCTGTCCATGAGCTTGATGCAGTCCGAACTATCGCAAACGGCCTTGATCTGCTCTTCAGTTAGCGCCGAAATGGCTGAGAATCCGCCAAAACCCACATCGGATGTGCATCCTTCCAGGTGCGTGTCGCTTGCTATCGTCAGAAGCTCAGACGTGGAGCACTCCTCCGCATTAGTCGTGGCGATGAAAGTCAGACTGGCAGCGAGTAGCCAAGGCAGAAAGCTCATCTTTGAATTGTTTGGAAATGGTCACGTGTGCGGTGTCCTTCGTGAATTGAAGAGTACAAGTAAAGGCTACAACCATATTCTAGGACAAGAAATCTGATGTCCCGGGTCAGATCACCCACCACCTGCTATTGCCCATCTTACGGATGGTGCAACCACCCCAGTAGAAATGTTTGTTAAGCACAGCTGCTTCTAGTGCAACACGAACACTTTCTTGGCAGAAACCAAAAGAGATAAGGTCCTCATCTCCTTTGGATTCGGCCAAGAAAGTTTTCATAAGGTTCACCTCTTACTAAAAACGATTGTGTGGTCATACCTAAGACGGCCTGTTCCGTGTCCTTCCTCAAAATACACCCTTGGACTCTTTAAACCTCAAACTCATGCATTCTTTTTCTTTTAAGTTAATTTGAATTACTTTTAAAAAGTACTTCAAGTAAACGCTCGCCCCCAGTAGAGCTGCGCATTGACAATGCGGCATTGTAGACAACGCCCCGATGAGATGCTTCTAAATGCTTGGAAGTTCGCACATATTACTTCTACCCCATCGAAATTTGAACAACGAGTACAACAGCACAAAATGCGAAATCTACATTGAAAAGTAACTCCCAAACTACATCAGTACCATGACAACCGCCAGGACGGCGGAGGCAAGTCCGGCAGTCAAAGTCGCAGCAGTGTGGCTCGCACCACTTGTGGAGCTAGAGCCTCCCGTAGCCTTATCAGTGCTCGAAGAGCTGGTCCCTGACTCATCGCCGACGTTGGTGCCACCATTTGACGAAGACGACGACGACGATCCCACCGCCATTGACCCTATCGATCCACTTCCACTGCACATTGACCCAACTTGGTCCAGGATGTCGCTCTGCACCGAAACAGTGGAGCCCGGAATTGTGCAGTCACCGAGGTTGGCCTCCGCAATGTCATCCATGAGCCCCATGCACGATGAACTCGAGCATACGGCCATGATCTGATCCATCGTCAATGTCGAAATGGTCGACACGCTCACACCACTGTCGGCGGTGCAGCCTGCAAGATTCGTGTTACTCGCAAGCTTCATCAACGATTCAGTGGAGCAGTCTTCAGCGCTGACGATCCCAGCGAGGGCAAGGCTGATCAGGATGGACGAAGTCAGCGATAGCATCTTGGTTTGGAACTTGATGGGGCTTGTTGGACCGGAGTGTAAATTGAGAAGTGAGAAGGTGGAATCTGAAGCTCTTCAAGCCCCCCTCGTGTCCACGAACGAGCTTGATGTTATCTTACCACAGTCGGCTAAAGAGAGTGAACCATGTGGCTTGAACAAACTCTCCCTCCAGACACCCCACCCGCAGATTGAGGTTGCGACTGCAGAAAAGATGACCGGGAAAGAACAGTGGAAAGGAATGGGAAAAAAGAGTCTTGGTTTGGCCGCTTGAACGGCCTGTTAGACTGTGTCATGCAGACGATGTTGACAGAAACTAGTGTTGGCCTTAGAGTGTCGGCTACTGTTATTCGAAAATGGCAGGTGGAAACGTTGCAACAAATTCCTCAGAAACAAAAACTTATTGCAGAAAACAAATAGTTATTGGAAACAAACCCATTGACAATTCAAATGGTTCGTAGTTTTGCCGGAAACGCGACTCCTAAGACAGGCACATATGACTGCGCAGATGACACTTTGCGCTCAGATTGCAGATGCGGCGATCCAAAAGCGTCGTGACCGCAACAAGTGATACCGTGGGTCGGCATTCCAAATGCGATGTGAAGCACCAACTCGTCTTCAATCAGTGATTGACAATTACCCAAATGCCGCATTTGTGTGTTCGAAGACAAGTTGGGACTTATCATCACCCTGCCCGCGCCGTGGTCAGCATCATCACTTGCATCATTCGTCCTGGAAATCCTTGTCAGGGGTGCCCATGCCGCATTGATAGCCAGAGGAAGCCAGAATTTGTGTGATTAACTTTTTTTTTAGTTGTATTCGAACATGACCTAGGTCGGATGTCCTGTTAACGGTAATACCATCATTGCCTAGCTTTTTGTCGACGTATAAACCAATGCAACAGTCGAAAAAAAGGCTGTCAGACGTCTTTTTCGAGCTAGTCATTGGCGACGTTGGCAGCTCATCGAATGGTAAATCGAGGAATGACTCTTGCTCAGCATATCAATCATAGCTGCCCTTACAAGCGTGGTGATCACTGGGCAAGGGAGTATGCATTTCTAACGGTCCGTTTGCATGTGCAAAATGAATCGAATACATGCATTGGGCTGCGATCAGCTGGTTTCACTTTAGCATAACAAAACTATCCGACCGACCCTAAATCAAGATCATGTCTGAATACGACTAAAAAAAGTGTTCTTTTTCATACTTAAGCTAAGCGCTTCACATGTCGATACGTGTAGGCCCTACTGTAGGAGAATCCCGACCATAAGTCTCGCATTACATTCGTTACGTCAATGCTCTAGTAGAAATGCCATATTACTGCCGTTAGTAGCACTGCCTAACAGTTATTCGTCCAACGTTTGCAACAATAAACCAGCATGACTACTTAAGTTGAGGTTGCGTACAGCGTACCAGCACATAAATATTGTATGCAGATACTGTGTCAACTCCTTGAAAAAGATCTGTTTCTAATTGCTTGTGGTTTTAAAGCACTGTGCAAGCATTTGATTCCTGACATTGCATATCCCTCTATTAACAAATTTATGACATGTCACACCGATTTCCCCTTTACCTTCACTTAATTGTTACATCATCCCTATATTTTGATACCCCTTTCAAATACATCTCGACCATCACTCCGCACGCATTGCAATCTTCAGCATCTCATTCCGCAAATTGCCAATCAAAAAACACAGACGACACCATGGCGACCGACAAGTCCGACGTGGACGTGCTGACCTCCGTGCTTTCGGCCATGACCGTGCGCCACGACGACGACAACCTGGTTACGCAGCGCCCTGCTGCCACGTTGAAGGAGATCCTCGAAAAGATCCGCGCCAACAAGGACCAGATCCGCGAGCTGGACCTCAAGGACATGGCAGCCAAGAAGCGCAAGCTCCGCTCCCCTGGCGGAGACCTCGTGGGCCGCGTGTTCCAGCTCAACCGCACAGTACTGAAGCTGTTGCTACCGGGCCACGAGATCGAAGACGCGGGCGCCAAGAGCATGGGCAACATGCTTAGAACAAACAACACTCTGCAACACTTGGACCTTAGGGGCAACGAGATCACTGCCGACGGGGCGCGCGCTATTAGCGATGCTCTCTACGGCCACGAGACTCTGGAGCACTTGGGTCTGTCCAGCAATAAACTGGGGGACGAAGGCGCTAAAGCTGTGGCCCAAGTGCTTCCATATAATATCTCGCTAAAGTACTTGGGACTCGCCAATAACGGGATAGGCGAGGAAGGAGGCAAAGCCCTATTAGAAGCCGTGCTGCAGAACCGGTCGCTGGTTATGGTGCAGCTGGTCAAGAACGACATTCCACGCGAGATACTCGACAAGATCCGAGCGGCGTTGGTCGTGAATAAATTCATGCAGAAGAAAGCCCAGCGAGACGAGGAGAAGGAACAGAAGAAATACGAGGAGACGGACAAGGAGCTGGCCAGGATGAGGGAGGAGGCGCTCAGCAACCAGAATGAAGAGGAGAGCTCCAGTGACGAAGATGAAGACGACGAGTCTCTGTGGATTTAAGCGCTTTGAGGAGATAAATAAGTGCTGCATAGCTGGCATTTAACAGAACCGAGGGTGAAGGTTATTTTTTTTTTAATAAATGCATGTTTGCCACTTGGAAACTTGAAAAAAGTGGCAAACATTTGACTTACGCAACTGTGACCTTTCGTATTCGTATTAGTTACCTGTATCTTTGATTTTGGTATCGGGACTTACCGTTATGGAGGGAAAGGTGATTCCGAGCACGATGGCGCTGGATGAGGATGGGAAGCCTCTAATGTCGCTGGAGGAGATGAAGGAAGGAATGTTTCAGTCCATTCGTGACAATGGCACAGTGGAGCTTATTCGGGTGAGGCCGGATGTTGTATCTTATCGAGGGTATATGGTGCTCACAGTTTTATTGTACAGGCACAACTTCGAAGACAGTTCATTGAGAAATTACAGCAGCATCGACTGAATGATGATCGAGACGATGAAAACAACGCTGGGCGAGCAAACCAAGATGCAGTGAGCTCAACGCCTGACGAGAAGTTGGTACACGGTTTGGTAGCGGAATATCTGGCAAGCAAGGGATTAGAAAACACACTTGCCGTGTTTATACCTGAAATCGGAGGCTCTCGAAACCAAGTGGACAGCACGACGATCTTGGAGGTAAATGATATAGTTCACAGAGATTTGTAGCTTTGATATGACTAACGATATCGTGTTTGCCAAAATATGAAGATTCTTCATGTGAATTCGAGTATCCAAAACAAACTCGTAAGAAAGATGATTCTTCTGTATGTAAGTTTTATTATTGATTAGCTTTTGTGTCAGAAAATGGAGCGGGTAAGTACGGGGCATTCCCTACTTTTCGTTCTTGTAAAAGAATTGGTACGTCGATTTCAACTTGCTACGATGGACTCGGGAACGCAAACAGCTATGGATTGCTTTGACCATCGCATCGTGTTAGGTGCGTGCTTGCAGGCACTTTGAGAATTTTGCCAAGTTTACACACTTTACTTGAAATACCGCTACGCAGAAAATGAATTACGACGGGTTGAGAACTCTTATCTAGCGGAATGTGCAGCTCAAAAGCTCGATCCAGAGAAGTCTCTAGAAGAGCGGATGGTGCAATATCAACGCGAATACGACCGCATTTGCGAGAAGCGCCTTCAAGAAGAGCTGGAGCAGTACAAATCTACCGAAGTCGCTCTGGTACGAGCGGAAGAACGAAAGCGCTTTAATCGAGAAGTGGATAATCTTCGGGCATCTCTGTTGCAGGAATATCGCAATAAACAGGAGCGTCTTCAAGAACACGAGCGTGAATTGGAACTCGCTTTTGTCGCTCGAAGAACGGAACTCGAGACGTCACTGTTTGAAACGCGCCAGTCGCTGTTCAAAGACCTAGAGAGATTACGAGTGAAAGAGGCCGAGTTGCAAGTGAAAGTGGAAAGCGATATCCGTCATTTCGCCAGCGAAACTCAGCGCTTCCAACTGTGGGAAGAAAGTGTACGAACACAAGAAGCAAATCTAGAGGGGATCGTCGGCCAAGCAATGCGGGAGAAAGAGCGTGCGTGGAATATCGAGCGCCAACAAGCTCTCGCTGACATTCAAACGAAGCAAGACGACCTTGCTGATCGCGAAAGAACACTTGCAGCAGAGACAGGAACGGTCAAGACGCTTAAAACTCAAGTTGTGACCTTACAACAAGAAGTTGCGGCGTTGGAAGCTGCACTGTCGGTACGAAACACATCAAAATCTGTTTCTTTGACGGTTAACTGTTTGATAACAACTGACCATGTTTAATAGAAATCGGGAGATGAACTTCGCATAGCTCAAAGTTCAGCGCTTCAGCTTAATAAGGACCGACAACGGCTTGAAGAAAAAGTGGCAGAATTGGAGACTCAACTCGGAGAACAAAATACTAACTTTGTGGACGTTAACACTACGAATGCTCGGCTCGTTGCCGAGAAAAGTCTGGTTAACGACGATTTATTACGTTACAAGCAAAAGAACACCGAGATCAAAGAACAACTGAAGTTAATAACCGTGGAAGTAAAGTCACTGCAGCAACAGATTCTCGACATGAAACTGAATGAAGCCAACGCTATTGTCGCTGAACGCAAGAAGTTCATGCAAATTATGGAGGAAGAGCGCGAACGTTCACGGTGGAAAGAAAGCGAGCTGCTAGTAAAATTACGGGAAATGCAGAGTCGCTTGGCGGAATCTGAAGCTCTAGCAGAAAAATACCAGAGCCAGTACGAGGACGAGAGAGTTCACGTGGAAGCTTTGCGGCATGACGTATCGAGCTTAAATTCACTGTTAACTCAAGCTCAAGCGACAATAAATGCTAAGCATGGTCCTTCAAGACAGACGGGAAGTTTCAGAGCACAACGGAGTAGTGATTCGTATGAAACACCACATTTTGCAGCCTCTGACCATCAAATGCCAGGAGGGAGCGAACGTACATTTATGATGAAGATGATGGAGATGATGGCAAACTTTCAGCAAGAACGTGCTGGTAATACTGGAGTTACGCCGGATATTAGCCACACTCATACGTTTCAAGCAGCAACTATATCGCCCACGCCTCAGCTGCACAGTGAAGAGCAAGAAGAGGCTAAACGGCTTAAAGGAGATCAAGAACGCATCGAACGAGAACTTACTGAACAACGCGAGTATGAAAAGAAGCAGCAAGCACGAAAAGAGGAGCAAGAACGAGAGCTAGCCGAGCAGCACCGAGAGTTCGAAGAGAAACTTGCTCGTATGCGTCGTGATCGTATTGAAGAAGAAGAAAGGATGGAGGAGTTACGTAAACGAAATCGAGCTGAAGAAGAAGCGAAGTTGCAAGAGGACTTGGCACGACAGCGTGCGGAGGCTGCAGAGTTACAGCAGAAATTGGTGGAGCAACACCTGGCGGACGAGAAGCAAAGATTAGAGGAGGAGCAAGCGTTTAAAGAGAGAAGACTAGCTGAAGAGCAGAAGCTGAACCGGGAAATTGAGGCAAAGCGTAGTCAGCAGCAAATTGAAGACGAGTTGGCAGCCAAGCAAAGAGAAGAACGAGAAGCCGAGGATGAGAGACTGAGACTGGTGCGCAAAGCGCAAGACGAACAAGAGCGGATTAGGTTGGAACAAGAACAAGCCAGAGCTCTTCAAGCTGCGATGCAAAAACAAGAAGAAGATCGTCGACAGGAAGAACTACGTCTTGCTGAAGAGAGAATCCTCAAAGATGCTGTGGAGGCATCTGATACCGAAGCAATAGAAGAAGCGTCGTGGAAGGAGTCCAGTATTGAAGACGAAGACGAGGAACCCAATGACAATGAAGAAAAATCTGGCTCTGATGTGGAAGAGATCCCTCCAAATGATAACGTTGCGGAAGATACAACGAGTGATGTTCATTCCGATAATGAAGCAGCAGAAGAGTCAGTAGCCAGCGCTGGTAGTCACAACGGCGCTCAGGGTGACGATGCAGCTAGTGACATTTCAACAATTATAGAGAATATGCCAGCGAAGACTCCAGAAGAAGAGGAACAAGAACGACAGAAAGCTGCTGAGGAGGCCAAGAAGAAAGAAGACGAGAATGTCATCGACGTATACAGACAACGAGTTCTTGCTCGAAAAGCAGCCGAGAAGCAACGCCAACAGGAACTGGAAGCTGAAAACGAGCGAAAGGCAAAAGAAGAGGAGGAACGGCAGCGAGCTCAGCTCTTGGATGCAAGTGGATCAGATCAAGAACTCGAGCTGTCAGGTGGATCATTCGCCGAATCCAGGTACGTGACTCAAAACTTAGGTATCTTTTTTATAGTATATCTTATCGTGTATCCATGGATTTTGCCATGACAGTGCTGCAAGCAACAGTGACTCGTTCTAGCGTTGAAAATAATAGAAGACGGGGTTTCTAGATAATCGGTTGGCACTAGCATGTGATCGTTATTGCTTTGCGACCCTTCTTTCTTAATGTGACGGTAGCTTTTGGTCGGTTTTTCTTTGTTTCAACTTACGCAAAGGCGATGCCTCTAGGAAATGACAGCCGCGCTTCTCGACGTCCAATGCCTCGGCAGTTAGACATGAGTGGCTGGAGCGGAGATTCGTATGGCGATCGAGCATCAAGACGCTCGCGTGATGCAGACGAAGTTAACTATCGCAACATGCGTGAAGCCTCAAACCGTTATGAGAGTTCTAGGGAAAACGACCACCCACGTCGTCCATTACCCAGGGAAGAATCCCAGCATCCGTTTGAGACGAAATCTTCGCGTACTTCTGACTTCGACATCAGCAGCATTTCCAGTGGACGCAGTACTGTTGGAGGAAGCACGTTAAGCTTCAACTTCACGTCAATTGGGAGCGGCAGGTACCAACCACGGGGTGATCGAGCGAGTCGACAGGATAACCAGCGAGAGGCCGATGACTTTATTCGCAGTGACAGCACGAGATCCTCTCGATGGGATGAACATGCCGAACCACGGCGATCAGACCGTAGAAGTCAAGACAGATTTCAACGAGCACATGCTTCAGATTCTTCAGCCTACACTGGAGCTGCAGAATCATTCAACTCGAATACTTCTCTTCGATACGAACAAGCCGAGTCGATACGTTCAAATGACAAAGCTGATTCCATCCGGGGCCCCGAGTCACCCGTACCGGCTCGAAGAGTAAAGTCGTCTAGAGACGATGGCGAGTTACCAGAAATCGGAACGTCTTTACTCCCTTCAGGCTTTGATAACCAGGACGAACACCACCTTAGCCGAACAAATTCGGAGACATCCATTGCACCTGCTTTCCCTGAATCCGAATACGACTCTGACACCAAGAGAAATCGAGATCGCAACTCAAAGCTGTCCATTTCTTCTCCTATTCTTTCGGACAGATCACGTGACAGGAGGTTTGTTTCCTCGTCGCCATGCTCGCCGGCCTCAGTGAAAAGCATGACGGCCAGTAGGAAAGCGTCAAAGTCTACTCAATCTGCCATGAGTGACCTTCGTGAAAATCTGTACGCATTTCGAAAGCAGATGCGTGAGATATTTATCCGCGTAGAGGACATGGTGGACGTTCACCGATCTTTCTTCAAATCTGATCCAAGCACCGGAAAGCCGGTATTCCGTGAGGAACTCCAGCAAGAAGCTGAGAAGCTAGCCAACGAAACTTTTGAGCAGCTAGCTGATCTACGCGAGCATTTCGTTCGGTTAGCAAAGGATTTCCAGCGATCGGAAACAGACGAACAGCCTGTGCCGAGAGGGACTCGCTTTCCTAGTCCAGAAGCCTCTTCACGGTCCAAGAGATCACTACGCACTGTCTCGAGCCGTTCATCAGATGATGAGAACAATAGCGTGAAGCACTCCGACCATCCAGAAGATGATGGAAGCGAGCGCCTCTCGGTGGCCAGCGAAAACAACGACGAGGCTTCGAGTATGGAGCTCTCGCCAAGCATCCGACAGTCGACTCAGAGCAGTGACGATGATTTTCCAACCGTGTCAGAGTCGATAGCATCTACCAAGTTGTCATCGCGATGGCGAAAAAACCCGAGCAGGGACTCAGAATCCATCGCTATGAGCGATATCAGCGCACGCACGAAGACTCGTGCTCCTAGTATCGTCAGCGACTCCAGCTCGCGTCACGATCAATGTAGCAAGAGTGAACCCGACGCGGATAGCATCTTCAAAGGTGAGCTCTTCGGTTGAACCCATGTTGACATTTTTTGGCCACTTCAACTTGTCATCTGATACTTTTTTTTGCTGACTACCGACATACTAGATTTCGACAAGCGTATGGAGCAGATCCGCTGCTCGCTAAACGCTATCGCGAACGGTAGGACGCCGATAAATCACCAGGGCAACACTTCCAGCGTTGCGACGCCACCGAAAAATTTCACGGTAAGGATGATTTTACGTTGAAAAATGGCCGGATGGCTACAATTGTTCCGCGCCAGCCATTGTTGACAACATTTTGCTACGAAAATCTGACGCTGCTCTATTGCTGACGCTAGGTCGGAGGAGCGGGTTCGCCCATCCGTGCCATGATGGACGTGACTCGCACTCGGCCAACTCCGCTCGAGGCGCCGGGGATATCCAGGAGACTGGGAGAAGACGATAGCCGACCTCGACCCGGCGGCCGTGAAGCCGAGCTACGTCACCTGCTGCGTGAGCTCAACCACATCAACAGCAGCAACGAGGACGAAGAGGACTAGAGTCGCTCCATTGAAAGGCATCTACACTTGCCAGCAAAGAGCCGTTGACGATAACTCGTTGATGGTGAGAATGTAGCCAAGTCGGATTGCAAAATTTCGCCAGTAAAAAAAGCGTAAATTTCAGCGTAAATCCGCCGATGGGCAACGTTGAAACGAACGGCATCAACTTGATGGTCGCCTCTACTACAACACCGAAAGCACCCTCTCCACATAGTTGTCGAGCACTTCGCTCCCTGCAAGGGGACTCCCTAGCCGACGATCAACGTCATTTAATGGCCGGCTTTATTTTTTCGCTAAAAATGAACCTACATGTCTAATGAAATGGTACAGTGTGCCAGTTCTTTCCCTCAAACTGTCCGTTGCCGTTTTGAGAGAGCGATGTGCTCTTCCTCCGCCCTCATTTGCTGACTTTCCCCGCTGTGTTCAAGCGCTCTAACATCGTCATCTCGGCGTGTAGATCGCGCTTACAATCTGAGAATCAAATGGCACCTGCGGCTGAAGATAAAGCACAGCGACACAAGCTGGTAGTACGCGTACATAGCGCCGAGGAGCTGCAACATTCTTCGTCACAAGGCGCCTATTGCAAACTCTACGTGGGGGCAACGGCCATGACCGAGGGCAGCCACAAGGCGCTAAGCAAAAAGGACTCAAACGACTCCTCCACGTCCAACGAGGATCTGGACGAGGCCTGGCATCTCGAGGTGCGGCGTACACGCACGCAGCATCAGCAACCCAACGCTCTGGCACCGCCCGAGACCATTTGGGATGAGGTTTTTGAGGTGCCCATCCGTCCTGGTGTGGATCTGGCCACGCAGATCTTGAGTATCCGCGTGAAGAGTCATCACCTCTTCTTCTGCCCCGTAATCGGGGCCTGCGCAGTCTCCCTGGCGAATTTATTGCCAGGGGAGAGATTGGAGCAGTGGTTTCCTCTACAAAAGGGAAAGAAACCAGCGGGTCGTATCCGGGTCATGCTACTGATTGTACCAGAAGATAAAGCTATAGTCTCGTCGTTGCCGAGACGGAAACAGCCGAATCAAGATGTCATGGCGGCAAGAGCGGCGAACCACGAGGCGGATGAGGCGATTAAGAGGCTCGTGGAGAAACAATTGAGACAAGAGGCCGAACGACGTCAGCGAAGACTTGAGAGAACGTCCAGTGGGCCGCCAGTGGAGGTGAAGCGACCAGCAGAGCAAGGTGACAGCCATTTAATTGGCAGAAAGATGGACGAGGTGGCTATTGGGGATAGACAGACAAGAGAAGGTAACTCTACTTGGCCACCTCCGCCAGGTGTGTCGTCCCCCCGAGTGCTGCCTCCGCTTGGAACTCCTGCGGCGCTGAGGGAAAACTTTAAGGACGATGAACCTCCGAGTCCACCGCCGACTGAGCAGCCGGTCTCGCCAATGTCGGAGTATGAACAACGGCTAGACCGGAAGTTGCGGCAAGTGCGGAAGGAGACGGCGAGACTACGCAAACTAAAAATGCAACTTAAGAAATACATTCCGGATCTGCAAATGGATTCGGATTCGGACGACTCACTGGAATCGGATGAGGAACCGGAGACGCTGTCCGGATCGTCGTCTGGCTCGGAACGACACCACCATCGTGTTCATTCAAAGGAAAACCACCCGCACAGCAACAATAAACTCAAACACTCGAAGGTAAATTTTGCATCGCATGGAAACAAGGTGGATGGAGCGGATAAACATGGTACTTCTATCGTCTTCTAGTGGACAGAATCAGAAGTGTGTATTACGACTCTACCTACTAATGAGGGGGGATATTTTCAATAATCTATGTTGTGTTTTTGGTTGTTTTTGCTGTTCGGTTTTCGGGGGATATGGCATGGATACGTCTTGGCAGAATGGGCATTGTTTCGGTTTCCAGCTCACCGAACACATCAGGTTCGTAAAGCTGAAGGATATGTGTGGTCGGAGGGGGAGACTATGAATTTAACTTGCCGTTGAAGTTGGAAGCATAAAGAGATCTTGCTTGGGTACGCTTTAATCTGCCATCCTAGCAGCGCTACTAGCGGTGGTGCAGCTCAATGATCATTACCGAATTGGAAGGACACCAAGCACATATCCTCGACAAGAAAGCGATTCGCCATGGTGAGCTACGGCCAAGATACCTCGTACACATTGTTTGTCAATGTCCAGTCGGCGCAAGAGTTGTCGACATCGGCGAACGCAGCTTTCTGCACGACGTTCTTGTGGAATACCTCGTCCCCTGGTGGCCCCGCAAAATCGACATCCAAGCCTAAGTACACAAGCTTCAGCCGCCTTCGCGACGATGAGAACTTCGACTGGAGTGAGGAACTGCAACTCGATGGGACGAATCCGCAGTCGGAAGTGTTCACTGTCCGCGTGAAAGACTCGAGTGACACACTGGTGGGGAGTTGCAACGTCTACCTGGCACACCTACATCCAGAACAACCTCTGGACCAGTGGTTCCGGCTTCACCCTGCCGGGCATATTCACTTAAAGTTGGAACTGAGACCCAAGCAGCGGCCTATTCCAATCCCCGTGCCCAGTCCTCCGTATTCCATGAACGAGCCGTCTCTTCCGTCCGATATTGCCATGATGCTGGAGCTTCAGAAGCAGGCGCAGCTCAACACGATGGCCATGGTTAACGAGCATCTCAGACAGCAGCAACAAGCGATGAAATACTTCATGCCCTTCGGTGTCCCTGCGCCTCAGTCAAATCTCAACAAAATGATTGGAACCGCCGCCACCATTGCCGCCGGCATGCAGGGCGAGGAAGTCGGCACTAGCGGGTTAGGCACGATAGCCTCTATCGGCCTTGGTGCTCTCGGCCTTGGACCCTTCGGAGCTTTCTTTGGGGCGTAAGTTGCGGGAAATTCCCACCTTCAAGTTGTTCAAATGCACATGCACGCACCTAATTACCCGAGAATAACAATACTAATTCAAGCATCACTTGATGGAAACAAGATGAATAGGCAACCACAGCGGGTTACCATCGTCTTAAGCGGGCAGTTCTGTATTAAGATTCTCCATGCGAGAAAATGCAAGGATAGTTTGAAAATAAAAAATTATACAGTAGTTACATGGAGTTTTTGCTGTTCGGGATTTGACTAAGATACCAAACTTGTTGTGAGTAAATACTTACCTGATCGTTTTTTTTTTTTTTTTTCCTTCTTTTTTTCACCGACAGAATGGACATCGCTCTCACTAAATACTGATCCGAGAGAATCTCGGTGCGTTCACCTCATCCGCCTGACAGGATGAACTATTGCAGTCGCCAGAGCCGGATGAGCAGAGAGATTTTTGTTGGCTACACTTCGTCGGCGATCATCAGTTGATGATCGTCCCGCCTCACGATCATTACGGAATCTGAAACGCACCGAGCAAGTACTGTAACCATGGTGAGCTACGGCCAAGATACCTTTACGCTGTTTCTCCATGTCCAGTCCGCGCAGCATTTGTCCACGTCAGCGAACGCAGCCTTCTGCACGACGTTCGTGTGGAGCAGCTCGTCCCCTGGTGGTCCCGCGCAGTCAACGTCCGAGCCGAAATACACGAATTTCAGCCAAATCCGCGATGACCAGCCCATTGAATGGAACGAGGAAGTGCAACTGGATACGACCAACCCACAGTCGGAAGTGCTCACAGTTCGAGTTCAAGACTCAAGCGACAAACTAGTGGGGAGCTGCAACGTCTACCTGGCCCACCTGCATCCAGAGCAGCCTCTAGACCAGTGGTTCCAGCTTCACCCCGCCGGACATATTCACTTGAAGTTGGTGCTGAGTCCCAACCAGCGGCCTATTCCGACCCCCGTTGTTAATTCCCCTTACGCTACCGACTACCAAGCGCTGCTCGATGTGGCAATGAAGAAAAGAGCAGCAGCAGTAAACGAGTCCCCTCTTCCTTCCAACATCGCCATGCTGCTTGAGCTTCAGAATCAGGCACAGCAGAATACGATGCTGATGATCAACCAGCAACTCCGTCAACAGCAACAAATGACGCAAAACTTCATGCACCAACAAGCACAGTCTCCCTTCACTGCCGGTTACCCTTCGCCTTATCAGCAGCAGCAGTCGAGCGGTCACAATTTCCACCAAACGATGGAAACTGCCGCCAACATCTCCACTATCGCCGCCAACATGCAGCAACTCAACGGCAGCAACACCGGCACTAGCGGTTTAGGCACCGCAGCCTCCATCGGACTCGGCGCTCTCGGCCTCGGACCGTTCGGAACCTTTTTCGGATCATAAGTAGTGAGAAGAGGCCGTTAAGTGGATATCTAATACATGCGCGCTGAACTGCACATTGACGCACAGCCACCCATGCACATACAGTACTGGAACTACTATACTCATGGTAGAACAACGCCCTATGGCATTCCCGACTCAGAGCGCCCCATCTTGCGTAACGTTCCACCTTTCTTACTCAAACCTTGATGGGTACACTCCTTCCGTAGCTCCTCGCCATCGACTTCATTCCGCAATTTGCTGCTGACTGAGGCCATGGAGCGCATCCACTCCACTTCAAGCAGAGGATTAGCCGGATGGGGCAATCCGACGCTGCCCCAGAGCGGGTTTACGCTATTCCTGCGCGTGCATTCTGCTCGAAATCTGGCGGCGATGGGGCGCGGATCGTACTGCAAACTCTACCTCGGCAACACCGAAGTGTTGGATGGATCTGCTCAAGCCGGAGCCTCGTTTAGCAACCTCTTGGCGATCGACAACACTCAGCCTGGAACTCACCGTGTCTTCCGTACTAAAGTGCTGTATACGGATCAGAAATCCTGTCCGGAATGGAACGAGAAACTCGAACTCCACGTTATGAACCCGGACACTGAAATCTTAACCATTCGAGTTAAGAACCAGTTGATGCTCTTCTGTCCTGCTATCGGGGCGTGTGCTATTCCTCTTTGCAATGTCAAGATGGGGGAACCCGCAGAGCAGTGGTTCCCTCTGTACAAGCAGAACAAACCTGCGGGTCATATCCGACTCCAATTGCTGCTAAAGGTGAAAGATCCTGTCATGCATCCACCCCCTGCAGTGAACGAGTCACCGATGCAGAGACTTATCCAGCAACATTGCCAGCAAGAACGAGAGCGACGCCAGTTCGTTCAGACTGAAGAAACGATAAGACGTCGACAGTTTGAAGAACAAGAGAGACTACAGACGGAGTTACGAAGACAGAAACAAGAAGCGGAGCAACGCGAACGGATGAGGATTGAGGAGATGGCCAAGATGCAAGCGTTCCATGACAAAATGCAACGCGAAGAACAGGCAAAAGTCCAGGCGTATTTGCAAAAACAATTGGAGCATGAGGAAGATTTCCATGCTCAAGTGTTGACGGACAAGATGAGCGCGATGAAGGTGGAGGAAACACCAGAAGTGACTAAAGAGTCCAATAACTCCAGCTATTATTTCGCTGACGATGTAGAAACGTCGAACTCGAAGGGATTGAAGCAGAGCTTTACTGATGAACAGGTGCCTGAAGCTGTGGAGGTGACGGATGTGGTGCTGGGAGAGGTCATCCACGATGCGTTGCCCTCAGACTCGTCGGATGAAGATGGAACGCAACGGGGCCAGCGCAAGGAGAAGGAGCAACACCAGCAGCAATCTAAAAGCGAAATGAACAGCCCTCCTTTGTTTCCAAGCGCTCCTGAACCTACGTTAAAAGAAAAAGTCCCTCAAAGGAGCTTATCTCCTGCCTCGTCAAGTTCAGACGAAACATCTTCGTCCGAAGAGGAACGTCGACGTCGCCGTCGTCGCAAGGAGAAGAAAGCTAAGAGAAAAGAGCGTCGTCGAAGACGCAAAGCTAAGCGAAAAGTTCGTCGTGAAGCCGACGGATACGATTCGTCTTCTTCTAGTTCATCGTCGTCGTCATCGTCGTCCTCTTCGTCTTCTTCGACATCGTCGGATGAGCGCCGTAAGCGCAAGTCAAGGAAGCACAAGAAAAGCAAAGAGAGAGCGCGATCGCACCGTGAATGGAAGGCCAGCTCCTTTACTCGAGCCTCCGTGCCGATCCACTCGCACTCGTATGGACCAGATCACTCTAACTATCCAACCAGTCGATACAGTGAACCTCCGCCGCAGTACACGAAGCCTCAGTCGTCGAACTACATTGAATCACTACCTCCCCAGCCCCAGCAAAAGCGGACGATGGCTGAAAAGATCAGTACGGCTGCAGATGTGGCTTCGATCATATCGGATATGGCGTCTGTGGCGACGAGTGTTCAGCAGTTAGCTGGTGGTGGTGATGCCGGAGGTGGAAGTATTCCGTTAGCTGTGCCAGACATGAGTCAATTTCTAGGAGGCCAGGATCTCTCGGGATTTGCAGGACAAGATTTCTCGGGTTTGGTTGGTACCGACACGACAGCGCAGTACTTTTAGTGAGACTAACCAGTCCAGCAAAGTGAAGTTGTGTGTTCATTTCTTGAACTTAGTTAAAATGAAGTAAAGAGCAGACAAACAGTGTGCACTAACGCTGTGAACCCAGATGAATTGCATTAATTGGTACTTAATTCAAAGTGCAATTTCACCACTCGTGCACGAGCGTCGCTAATAGTGACTCGCTATTAATACACGACTTAGCAACATTATAAAAGACCCGTGATCTCTTCGGTTGTTGCTGCCTCGGTTGCTGACGAGGAGTATCCTACATGCACATGTAACTAGAAATGAATTAAGCCCACTACGATCATTGTTGTCACGTAGTAACACTTCCACTGACTTGCGTTCCCTCTGCCACTGAAGTTGAACCCAAAAACACCAACCTATCCGTCGTGACTTGCTTTGAGTATGCCACGGGTTGAACTTCATCGTTTCCCCTATAAAGGCGACAACAGCTGAAGTTCACTTCGAAATCGTCGCTGACCATGGCACGCGACTCGCTGGACGCGCCTCCAATGTCTCGCTTCCGAGCGTTCACGACGGCTCTGGGATTCAAACCCAGCAACGGGACAGCGCGGTCTTCGTCCGACCAGTCTTCCGCTCCAAGTGTCCCCCAACGACCGGTCAGCACGTCGTCGCTGCGGCCGCTCTACGGCAACTTCACGCTCTATCTCCGCGTGCATTCCGCCAGGAATTTACCAGCCGTGGCTCAAGGCTCCTACTGCAAATTATACCTGGGTGATGAGCCCATTATCGGGGGCTTTGGACACGGGAAATCCCTCGTTGGAGCCGACAAGAACCAAGGCGGCAGCCACCAAACCTACCATACTAAGGTGCAGATGAGTGCCACAAGGGATTGCCCCGAGTGGAACGAAAAGTTCCAGATGAACGTCAAGAACCCGAACGCCGAGATATTAACGATCCGCGTTAAGAACCACGTTCTCATATATAGTCCGGCAATTGGTGCGTGTGTCGTCCACTTGCGGCAACTTCAATTTGGACAAACTATAGACAAATGGTTCCCTTTGTACAAGAACGATAAACCTTGTGGCGAGCTCCGACTGCAAATCTGTCTACAGGAAAATGTGCAATTCACTGTTCCCGAGCGTAGGTATTCTCAAAGTAGCGAGGAAACGATTCAGAGACTGATGCAGGAGCATCGACAGTTGGAGGAAGCGCAACGACGCGAGTTGGAGTTGCAACAAGAGGAAAAGTGGAGAAAGATGGAGGAGGACGCCGTTAAACACGCTGGTCTGGAGCAGCAGATCGAACGAGAGGAGACATGGAGAGAACAATGTGCGAGAAAGTTGAACCAGGAACAACAGCAAGAGAAAGATGACCACGACTTGGGTTCGGATTTGCCAGCTAGTTTTAAGAATCGAGGCGTGAAGAAAGAGGAAAATTCGGACTCGGAGCTACCGTCGAGTTTCAAATTTCGCGGTTTGAAAGAGGAGGATGTTGCTACTCAGAAGATGGAGAATCTGAACCTGCATCCAGATGTGGAGGATAACAAGCAGCAAGAAGTAACCTTCGGAATTCCTAGTGGATATACCATTTACGGCATTGATTCCGGGCATACAGCAGTAGTTCCGCCAAGCCGACAGATCTCAAGTTTCGGAACGATCCGGTTGTCGGTAGAAGAACTGGATCAAGTAGCTCACAATGCCCTACCAACTTCAGATTCTTCCGAGTCTGCCTCGTCAGAGGACGAGCGTCGTCGCCGTCGTCGCAAAAAACGTCATGATAGAAAAAGAAGTCTACGTAAGAAGCATTCCAAACGGAGAGCGTACAGCAATGAATCGTCCGATGATAGCTCAATATCTCCCCGTAGATATCGCAAGGGTTCATCTAGATCCAAGAATGAAGACGTTAAAAAGCGGTCGACACAAAGATCTGTGTCGTCTAGAAGCGGGTCCAGTAATGCAAAGCAAACTCGACAGGACCCAGACATCCCCACGACTTTGACATTCCCAACAAGCCCAGCAGATGAACCCTCATCAACTTCGTCTGAAGAGGAACATCGTCGCCGACGTCGAGCTGAAAAAGCCAAGAGACGAGAAAAAGAGAGGAGACGCAAATCTAGACGAAAGCAAACCAAGGCTCGAAGAAACTACGAGAGTAGTTATTCGTCTTCTTCACTATCGCCGTCGTCGTCTTCACTTTCGTCGTCGGAAGAGGAACGGCTTCTACGGAAGGTCGAGAAGAAGAAATCGCGGAAAGCCCGGACTCGCGCTAAGCTTGCGGAAAGCGGCGGCTCGCGTGCTTCAACCCAATCGTCAGGTATGCAGTACCAACGCAAGCTTAGCTACGCTGACACGCGTAACATTGATTCTGTGTCTCCTTATGTGACACAGCACTGGGGCTCAGATGCGAGTGGAACGCAGCGTGATGATCAACTGGATCTGCCTGTGTACAATGATTGTGGATACAACGGTGGTAACCAGGCACCTAAGGAATTTGCTGCTTCTTTTGCCCCAAGCAAAACACACCAAGTCCACAACAGCTACGGGCCGGATGGAGTCGGATTTGATGAGCCTGATCAGTCCACAACTCCTCAATATCTTGGACAAACCACCAAGGAGCAAACCAACGCGGAGTTGATGCGCTCTTTTTGCTTTTAATAAAGTGTTTAAAGCTATGTGAAGCTTGGATTTCAATTTCAGCACGAATTTTAACTCGTTTTCGATTGAACCGTGAGCAACATACCCAAAAAGGTTGACTTATATTTCAGTCAGAGTCAGAGCTAACGGGG